GATTTTGCCTTTTACCAGGTTAAACAAGCAAGGAAATGTCTTATAAGAGCATCATTATAGGGGGGATGTTAGCTGAATCTTAGGTATTAAAGTGATTTAAATTAAATAGTAATACCTTAATAAGCTAAGGAACGTTCCTTAGCTTTCCTTAGCTTATTAAGGTATTAACTATTTAATTTAAATCACTTTAATACCTAAGAGGTGCCACGTGTCATGTTTTGATTGGGCGGATTTCACATATTCTACAGATACGCCTTCTAATTTCTTCGATAATAGAGCTCGAGTTCGTGATCGAGGTATGCATCAACAATTGAAGAATGATTTGGTCGAGCATATATGGACAAAATATAGAAGAAATTAAGTTTAAAATATTTGTGATTTATGTTATAAATTGTATCCCATGTATGTTTTAATTTTTTTAATTTGCAACAATTATTAAATTTTCTATAATTATAAATTTTATTTTTATATTAATATTTGTTTTTCTAAAAACCACATGTTAAGAGCCTACCATTAATCACACAAAAATCTTAACTCAAAAATACTATCTCTTAACAATCACTTTTACAAATAAATTATTTAAATATTACTAAGATCTAAAACTATGCTCTAAGGTTCATTTTCATAAGCTTCACTTGCTGCCACGACGTTAAGGTCTTCCTCGACGAAGCCCATGAGTACAACTTCTTAGGCCCATTTTAATACAGGATTTGTGTTATTAATTAATAGTTTAACAATTTTCGAATAATCTCGATTTCCAGAGGTTTGATTTCCTTGTGTTTGTATAAAACTTGGTCATGCATGTAGGCCTTTGTGGACATGTTCATTGTTCAGTCGTCGTCTTTCGATTGTATAAAACTAAAATTTTTGTTCTAATAGCTTCTTCTTTTTTCAACAACTGTTTGTAAACAAATTAATTAACATATATTTCATGAGAAGAAGAAAATTTGAAATAAATAAATTACAGTACAAGTTTAAAAATTCTTTTTAAAAAAATAATAATAATTTAAAGTGATTAATAAAATAAAATAAAAAAATGTTAAGCTGTCACACAAGGCATGAATGAGTGAAGACCCACCACTCCAAAATTTGCTTTCCGCTTATAATTTTTCATGGACCCCCATTAAGCAAACCAACATACATACCCCTTCTTTATTCTTTTCTTTTTCTTTACAATAAACATATTTAATAGCTAGTTAATACTTAATACTAATATTATTCATTATTTTGTCATCTTATATTTATGTTTTATCGTTAGTTGTTGATATTTATTCTTTGTCCAATTGAATTATAACATTTCATTGTGCCTTTCATGTTCTCACTCTAATATTTGGCCATTCCAAGCATATATATAAAAAATACACATGTTTAATCATAACCTATGATTTATCACTCCAACGCTAAATTATTAGCCTAAAACCCTTTTCATCTGCAAAAAGTAAACATTTTTTAAATGATTGACATAACCTCTAACTTGTCTGCAAATCTCTATAGTTTTAATCTCTTTTAATTTCAGATTACATAAAAAACCTTCTACAGGGAAAGTAATCTTCAATTTTCTGTAATTAAATTAATGATAATTTAAAAATAATAACAAGCCAAAGCTCTAAACTTTAATAAACAGTTTTTGTTCATTCTCTTCCTTTACCATTTCAAGTGCCACTTTTTCTTCCTAAATCCTCTCTCTCTATCTCGCGCTCCGTTCCCGAGAAAAAGAAAAAGCTTCAATCTCAAATCTTTCAGCAGCTACAAAAATGTTCTTCATCTGAAGAGAGACTGTGAAGCAGAGAGAGAGAGAGAGAGAGAGAGAGAGAGAGATGGGAGGTGTGACGTCATCAGTGGCGGCGAAGTTTGCTTTCTTCCCGCCGAGTCCGTCGTCTTACAAGCTGGTCTACGACGAACTGACCGGACTTCTTCTGATGAACCCATTTCCTCACCGTGAAAACGTCGAGATCCTTAAGCTTCGGACACGTAGAGGAACAGAGATCGTGACTATGTACGTCAGACATCCGATGGCTACCTCTACTCTGCTTTATTCCCATGGAAACGCCGCCGATTTGGGCCAGATGTATGAGCTCTTCATCGAATTGAGCATCCATCTTAAGGTTAATCTCATGGGGTATGTTAAAGTTTTAGTCTTTTTCTCTTACATAGCTCTGATGATGATGATTAGCTCTTCTGGTCTGAAATTATGTTCTGTTTTGTCATGTTTGTATCTGGATATGATCAAAGTTTAAGACTTTTTTTAGGAATTTTCTATCTGGTCCCATGTGGGTTTTGGTATTAATGGTGTTTTGCTAAGTGAAAACGAATGATTTTGGAGATTTTCTTTCTTTTTCTGGATATATGTTAGATTTGGAGATTTCTGTTCTTGTTTGTTTCTTCTGATACACACTGTTTGATTGTTCTTTTGGGTTATTATGATTTTGCTCTGTATCGAGTTTATGCTGATCAAGCTTTTGGTTGATACATATATTTAGACATTTTCATGGAACTGTGAATGTTGTACTTGGTTTGAGTCTTTTGTTCATTGTCTTTTCCCAAATTTTGATTTGTTGTCTACTTTTTTGTTTTCTGTTTGGAAACAACTTGGTTGTGTTAAGATGCTTAAGCTGTTTATTTTAGCTCTTTGAATGTTTCAGATTGTGTTGAAACTTTTATTTGCTCACTATAATCTTTATGAACCAATGCATCTCTCAACTTCAGATCCTTGATAACATTTAAAACCAAAAGAACTTCAGATCCTTCATAGCTTGATTCAGCTCTATAAATGTTGCTTCTCTGCTTTGGTATTTGTAGGTATGATTACTCAGGGTATGGACAATCAACTGGAAAGGTTTGTCTTTTTGAGAATCGACAAGTAGAGATATCGATAATGAGTTTTAACCCATTCGAGTAAAAAACTAAGTAACGGAACTTTTTTCGTGTGACTGCAGCCAAGTGAGCACCATACATATGCTGATATCGAAGCTGCTTATAAATGTCTTGAGGAAACCTACGGAGCAAAGCAGGAAGACGTAATCCTTTATGGCCAATCCGTTGGAAGTGGACCTACATTAGATCTTGCTGCTCGATTGCCTCATTTAAGAGCTGTTGTTCTCCATAGCCCGATTCTTTCGGGTTTAAGGGTAATGTATCCAGTGAAAAAGACATACTGGTTTGACATCTTCAAGGTAATAAATATATCATTCTTAGATGGATCATTTTTGATTTTCCTGCATTCCTCAATCTTCTTCACAGTGTCAGCTCTATGTAAACTTGCAGAATATCGACAAAATCCCACTAGTTAATTGCCCGGTTCTCGTCATTCACGTGAGTTACATATTCATTTCATTCTCTTTTCCTTTTTATAATCCGGAAACTGAGTGCATGTAACTCTTTCTGGTTGCAGGGAACTTGTGATGAAGTAGTTGACTGTTCCCATGGAAAACAACTGTGGGAACTCTCTAAAGAGAAATATGAACCGCTTTGGCTCGAAGGTGGTAACCACTGTGATCTAGAACACTATCCTGAATACATTAAACACCTTAAGAAGTTCATTACAACCGTAGAGAGATCTCTTTCCTCAAGGGTGAGCACGGCCCAATCAGAAAAACAGAGCAGCGATTTGGAAATGCCGAGGCAGAGCGTAGATAGGAGAGAGAAGCCGAGGCAAAGCATTGATAGAAGGGAGAAAGAGAAACCTCCAAAGGGTCCGTCGAAGAAGAGTAAGCTGAGAATCACATTCGAGCAGCACTTAGATCGGACTAGGAGGAGCGTTGACTTCCATGAAAAGGCAAGGAAGAGCGTTGACCATCATCAACATCATCATAATCATCATCAGATTGAGAGAGGAAGGAAGAGTGTTGATAGATTGGATAGAGTACGGTCTGAGTAAAACCGGAGAAATCTACCACACGTACATAAGTTGTTACAGAACGAGAACATTTGATCTTGATCTTGATTGGCGATTCTAATGTTTATGTGTTTTGTTTTTGATTGTGAGTTATTCTGTAGTTTATTTGGGTGTGATTTTTCTTGAAGCTTCAATCTTAAGCAAACAATTGAGAGAATTTAGGTCTTTACAATAACTGCTACTTTATTTATTTGACGACCCACCCAACTTTTTTTACTCGTACATATCATGTGATTGGTTTAAGCTTTGGTTACTGGTTAAATTTTTTTTTTTTTTTTTTCATCTGAATATTTCATTAGAACGATATTACTGTTATGGTATAAAACCTTACCAAAAGGATCATAGGCAATCACCAACAAAGACAAAAAAAGCGTTACAACTAAGCAACACAACTCTCGTTAGTGAACACTTCATGTAACCAAAAAGGGTAGTCTTGTGCTACGTATGATTGACTACGATCCTCACTGGTTAAAAACTTAAGAGTAGAGAAACAAAGTAAAAAATCGAGCATTTAAAAAAAACAAAAAAAGTCCACTGCACATCATGACAACAATATTAGATGCAAATAACACAAACAAAAAGATAGAATTAAAGAGATGTTGGTTGTTTTCTAACTCTGTCAGAACATTAACAAATGTCTTCCCCAGAAAACTTCACCATGCAGGAGTTTCTATGTTTTGGACCTTTGGTAATGACTTGTGTCAATTGTCTGTATATATATATATATCTTCTTATGTGTAGCCAAATATTTGGGTTTTAGTTTGGGCTTAGTTCGAAAGTACAGTAAACTCCTTTAAGATTGCCCAAAATGTATTTTGAGACTCAAGTTCTAATTTTCTGCAATACAGTCAAACAAAAGTCATAATCTCAGTCTCAGCTACTAATATTAGTATTTTCTTTTGAAATTGTGTAAGTGTTCAAAAATAGAAGAATTGGTTTATAGGCCGTGTTCATATTTTCCATAATATCTATTTTTAGCCTTATTAATTTAAGATACTTTCTAAAAGTAGATTACAAGATTCATCGTTTCTCTCATATCCATCAATTTCCCTAACTTTTCTCATCTTCAAAAACATATAAATTTACTCCTCCATGTCTTATTCTTACATCCTAAAGCTTTTGCAGTATTTCTCTATAGAATAAGAAAAATAAAATAAAAAAATAAAATTAAAAAATACTGCTTTAGCTTTTGGAGTATCCTCCTTTTAATCTCAATACCTATAAAAACAGAAAAAAAAAACAAAAAAAAAATGGCACGCCAATTTGTCGTTTTGGCCCTATTGGCTTTAACCATCGCCAGCGTTTTCGCCGCAGACGCTCCCTCAGCTTCCCCCAAAAAATCTCCATCACCCACCGCCACACCAACCAAGGCTCCTGCAGCCCCAACCAAGGCTCCTGCAGCTCCAACCAAGGCTCCGGCTGCCGCACCTAAATCATCCTCGGCCTCTTCTCCCAAAGCATCTTCCCCTACTGCTGAAGGACCAGTCCCCGATGATGACTACTCTGCCTCCAGTCCTAGTGGCTCCGCCGAGGCACCTACTGTCTCCTCCCCACCGGCTCCCACCCCTGACAGCACCTCCGCTGCTGATGGACCAAGCGATGGACCCACTGCGGAGTCACCCAAGAGTGGTGCCGTGACAACCGCTAAGCTCTCCGTTGTCGGCACAATCGCCGCCGTCGGCTTCTTCTTCTTTTCTTTCTAAGTTAAATTGTCCACGTTTTGCTTGGATGGATCAGAGATTTGTATAATCTTTTGAGTTGAGGCAGTAAATTTATTTTATATATACGTTTATAAATCGAGATTAACTGGAGTAAATATAAACCTAAATGTCGTTATGAAATTTTGTTAGAACAAATGTTTCATATTTTGTTTAATAAAAATTATTTTTTGGAAATGCATATGATTCTTGTGGTCTAATGTCTTTTAGTTCCTATTGTCATATGTTGTGAATGAATGTGTAGATATCATAAATGATATAAATGAATTTTTTACATTTTTATTTTAAACTTTTGTTGGCAAATACTAAATGGTTTTACTATTTGTCATTTATGATAAAGGCTAGTACACATTTTAAATCAAGTTGATAAACTTAGGATGAAAACCATTTTTGGTGTCAAAATTAGCCAATAGGTAAATAGATCAAAAAGCTTAGAAAATATTTAACGGTTCATAGAACATAATAAACCTAAACAATATTTCGTTCGATTATTTTTTGAGTAATTTAAATAATTAAATTTTCATGATAATTTATATTATACACTATTTTTTTTATTATTTTCTGGGTTTTGAAATAGAAATAAAAAAAAAAATATTTTCGTAGTTAAAATTAAAACATCTTAGAGAGAATGTGAAATCAAATAAACAAAAAAATAAAAAAAAATCAATATATTATCTAATGCAGACACTTCATTATAATTAAAATATAAAACAACAAATGTTTATAATAATTAAAAAATCTATATATACATTTTTGGATGACTTTTAGCAAATAAATCCTGGAGTTGGACCTTATTTACGGATGAATGCCATTGGCATTAATTATTTAAATTTGAAAAATATTATTTAAAGATATTACCAACACGATTTCGAGAATCATAAATTCATATCTTCCTTAATTTTCTGAGTCATTAATGTGATAATCTTTAGGAAAAATTTCTCTGTAAAAAAAATCCACATTAATGAAGGCATTAAAATCGACACTAACAATTAAATTATTTAGATATTCAATTATTTTAAGATTTTGCGTAGTTTTTAACTTTTACCTGTAAAATACTAGTCAAATCTAGCAATTATTAACACGAGAGTTTTCAAAAGGCTATCTTTCTTATTCTAGACTTATCTTATTGAATAAAATTCATAGACAATTAATTGTCATGTCCATTTCTCGTTGTTCTTTTTAAAATGTGAATAAGCATTATATGATATAAGCATCTCTTATCAGTTATCACTATATATACGGAAAAACGGTCTATTTCTCTATGAGAAGTATGCGTATTATGTCAGATAAAACTTGTTCTTTGACCTCGGTCTATATCTCCACGAAATCAAAGTTCTATTCTTATTTCCCTCCGAATCGAAAGTTCTATAGCTTAATATCCCCGAAACAAAAATTCGAGAGCTAAAACCCCACAAAACTAGGTTTAATCGGTTTAATGTATACAAAACCGATAAACAAACCAACTAACTCTAATGTATACAAAACCGATAAACAAACCAACTAACTCTAATTATAACAAGAATAAACCCAATTTTACCCGTTGACATAATAATTTGACCAGATCAAAACTATATCAAGCATGAACCGATTAGTTTCATAGAGCTCAAACCCAATCGTAAACAACAAAAAGAGCCACATTGCCCAAACAATGGTAGACACAAATATGTAATTAACAAATCGAATCAACCCAAAGGTAGATCTTGAAGATTCAAATCAAAATCTAAAGCAAATTCTCTACTTTTTAAAACAATCAAGAACAAATTCACTGAGCTTTGTTCTTCTGCATCTCCCTGGTTTCTACTGACAGTTCTCTTTTTTCTCTTATCAACTAAGCATTTTACAAGGTTGTATTGTATTATGTGATTTCGTTCGTTTAAGGCCACATATTGATTTATATTTCTTTGCATATTATTTTCAGATTTTTTAAAAAAAAAAATCAATGGAATAATAAAAAAACGAGACCATATCCCATCACCACCATCTCGACTTGTAATCAAAGACGCTGTCGTTTGTGACGAAGACGCCGTCGTACATCCGAAGGTTGTTGAAGAAGAAGACGAGTGAAGAAGCTTTTTGGACGTTTCGCCACGGGAAGAGGAGGAGGGGAGAGAGATGGAATCAGCTTCATTGTTTCTTCCACTTCAGTTGTTTGATGGATTTGAGATTTGATAAGTGAAGAAGTTGTGCGGTGGCGGCGAAGGCGTCGTTGGGAAATAGGTGGTTACGGTTGACTCGTCGACTTGTAGAAGAGCTGATCCAACTGAGTTGACTCAGCGAGGTGGTGACGTTTGAAGAGAGACAAAGTAGAGTCGAGGAAAATCGAGTCTTCACGTGAGAGAGATAGGTCGAGATGGTGGTGGCGGTCGGAGAGGGTGAAGGCAGAGGGAGTGAAATCAGAAAGTGGAAATTACAATTGAATTTGATTATTTGTTAATTACAATGAATTTCTCCAATGAGCTTTTGTAATTTTGATATCAAATTTATCAAAATCGTTTTTGTTGATTGAAGAATTGTGTGAAGAAGAAGATGATATCGGATCGGATCATTTACGGGTCGGTCATTTTTTAATTTATTTTAGAATCAAATTTTAGTGGTTTGATATTCGATTTACTTTGGGTTAAAAGCGTAAACCGATATAACCCAGGATTGGGGACATTAAGCTATGGAACTTTCGATTCGGAGGGAAATAAGAATAGAACATTGATTTCGTGGAGATATAGACCGAAATCAAAGAACGGGTTTTATCTAACGTGATACGCATATTTCTCGTGGAGAAATAGACCGTTTTTCCTATATATACAGAGTAGAACTTGCATGCGATATCCCTTAAGAATATTTTAATCGATCACGTTTAGCATTATATCAATATTATTTTATTTATTTTGAAGGGAAAAAATCCTATCTCCTAAAAACATTTCCATCGGTCAAACACCCAATTAAGTATATGATAAATAAAATAATATTAATTTTTTGTTATATAATTATTTATTTATTTATTTGAACCAATCAAAAAAAGACAACAGTAGAATTTGGTATCTAGAAGTTTTTCATTTCTGTTATCTCTCCTCTTTTTCTAATTTTTTTTATTCTGTTTTATCTAGAAGTTTCTCATTTCTGTTATCTCTCCTCCAGAGATACTCTTATGCATTTAGATTTGTCTAAAGTAGGCTTTAAATCTCTCAAATCTAAAACCATCAACTTTATATATGAAAATAAATGACGTTGCAGCCTTAGAGAAAATGTACAAGACAAAGAAAATGTATAGAACTTATTTTGGTTTCACGTGAATGTTATCACAAAAGAAAATCTAATTTTACGAAAGGTGTCATCAAAAGACAGTAAGAGTTCAGGATGCTACTGTACTATATACCACTTCATTTGGCATTGCTGTCGGTGGTAGCCAATTTACGATAAACCCAAGCTCAACAACATAATTTCCCTTACGAAACTAATAAATGAAGTGGGTTCATTTGTATTTTTATTTTGTCAATTTATGAATTGGATTCGGGTTTTGAAATTTATTCAGTTTCACAATCCCCTTGCGTTTGATTACAGCGTGGAATAAAAATAATGCAAATGATATATTAGATATCACATTAACATTACTCATTAGAATCTTAGATATATAATTTCCCATCAATATTGAATCCAAAATTCTCATGTTAATTTGTTGCCTAAAGAAAAACTGATCGTGTTAATTACATTTGCTTAATGTCAACCTCATGTTAATTTAAATCTAAAGTATATGTAAATGTGAACTTTAGATAAATGTTGGTGACTAATGCTCATATATAACAATAATCCGAACCCTTTTTACTAAAATGTGAGCTTTATAAATGTTGGTATCTAAAAAGTAGTGCTTTATGAAAAGTTGAAAATAAGAATGGAGTTACCCATTAATTAATAAAAAGTTTAAGACACAATGTATGAATGTAATGTAATCTAATCCAACCATACTATCTCCTGCACATCCAAACAGAATCCAAGATTACAATAGCTTTTACCAATGACTGATCGACACGCGTCAAAAGGTACCATCACTGTCAGCTTTCCCTCTCGCTCCACCTACATACTTCTGAGTGAGTGAGAGAGAGAGAAAGAACAAAACTTAGAAAGCAGAGAAGAGTTAAGTGTTAGAGAGAGAGATCGGAGATGTGTAGCAACAAAACAAGTCCGGTCGTCGGAGAAGAAAAACAGAGTACTAGAACATCAAAGAGGATCAAGAAGAGAAAAAACAGAGAAGCTACCATCACCATGGAGGAAAAGTCTCCTTCCAATCTTGACGCGTCTCGTAAGATCAGAACAAAAACGAAAAAACCTAAATTTCTCAGTCTCAAGCTCGAACTCAACACTTCTCACGAGATCAACGAGAATTCCAGAGCCAAGAAGAGCAAGAAGAAGAAGAACAAAAAACAGAGCAAGAAGAAAGAACCTGATACGACGCCGTTTAAAGAGAAGAAGAGAGCAGAGACTACTCTCGGAGGAGGAGAGAAAGAAGAAGAGCAATACGACACCGTCGCAGATTACCTCTTCAATTCCGCCACCGACAGTACAATTTCTTCGATCCACGATCTCCTCCCTACCTCCGCCGCAACGGATATAGATTGCGGCGGAGAAAGGAATAATCTCTCTCCGTACGATCGTCAGGAGCATGGATCGTCGTCTTCTTCCCTTCTAAAGACAGCGATGAGGAAAGGAGCGAGCGAGGAGGAGGAGACGACGGAGGAGCGGTGGGTGAGTTATTCAGAGGTTGTTGAAGAGGTGATGAGTCGGAGCGGGACTCCACGGTGTTGCGGAGGCGATGGAAACGATGGGCGGCCTTCGTTGGCTCTGAAGCTTGATTATGAGCAGATCATGGAGGCATGGTCGGATAAAGGTACGCTTTATGTCGACGGAGAACCGCCGCAGATGGTGCCGGACTTGCATGCTTCCACTGATGTAAGTAAACCATCTATTTTTTTTTCATAATCAATGCTTACATTGACTAATTAATTAATTAGACTTAAAAATTACCGGTGAAAATTTTAATGAGATCACGGGGTCTTTTGTTTTGAGACTCTCACTAAATTATTTATTTATTAATTGTGAGATTTATAATAATATTTAAGGTTTGACTATAGAATGAGAATTGTAACGGTAGATTGATTTACCGAGGTTACCGAATCATACGTTATAATGTTGGCAAATGTGCTTATAAATAAAGAATTAAGTATTTTGACATTTTGTTCTTCCAGATGGTAAATAATTAAGCAAGATTTGATATTAGGCAAATGTGTTGTGTTGGTGGGTTTAGGGGTTTACCGACTGCGGAGAGGCGGGGAATTTATGGGCAGTGCCGGAGATGGAAACGACGGAGAGGTTATGGAGGGGGCATAGAGAAGCCAGCTTGCTTCGGTATAAAGAGAAACGGCAAAACCGTCTTTTCTCTAAGCGGATTCGATATCAAGTTCGTAAACTCAACGCTGAGAAACGTCCTCGTGTTAAAGTAAGCTCTTCTTCTTGTTTTTTCAACAATTTTCACACACATTTGAATCCAAATTATGGTACATGATGTAGAATTATATTAAACTGATTGAACTAGAATTGGTTGATATGGAGACGGAGTTGCTGATTCTTATTAATCATTGGTTTTTGGTTCAAAATTTTTTCAGGGCCGGTTTGTGAAGAGAGACGATTCGTAAACCACTAAAAAAGCTGGTGTCATTAGGACATAATACACTAGTCTTGGAAATAACCAAGTGACGGGTGTTTGGTATAATATGATATTGTTATTTTGTAACTTTTTGAGAAGTTAGGGCTCAACCGGAGCATGCCGAGATTTGAAGATGATATTGGTCTGTATAGGGGTCTTGACCAGCTCGGTTATGCAAAAATTTCGGTTTTGTTTGGCTGCATTAGTTCTCTTATTAGAAAAGTTAACTAATTTGTACCAAATCATCTGAACAATAATGATAATAAAAGTGGATGTCAATGATAATAAGTTCATTAAGTGGATCGTAGTTCTTATTTTAACTTTTCTTCGAAATACAGTATATAACTAATTAAAAACATGGGTTGTAAAAACTTTCACAAATAGATAACATGTAAACATATTAGTTCACAACTTAGAAATAGTCGAATGACTATATGGAATCTCTAGTTTAATTCATGACAATCATAGCTATAGTTAATTTTCTTGATGTGATATTATTTCACAAAGAAATTGACAAACAACTAATTTGACAAATTTGTTTAGTTGTGTTTATACGATTATGGGACAAGATGTGGAAATGTTGTTAAGATCTAGAAGCTTTTTATCTTTGAAGGCAGGATCTTCTAACAACAATACTTTGTCTTTATCCCCAACACCAACCATGTGTAGATATTCATGATCCTCTCTTTCTTTCCCTTTGAATAATAGCCTTTGTTGTTTTGGCTCTAAACCGGTAAGCAATGATAATACCATCTTAAGTTCTCCTGTAAATCCATAAATATAATCTTATGTTATAAATCTGACAAAAAAAGATTTATAATATTAGTTCTTCTCTTTTTCTTTATTTCATGTTTTCAATTTACTAGTTTTTAAAATACGACTTTTTCATAGTTTCATATGATTTTAGTTTTCGTATACTCGCATACAATCTCATAAATCAGTTTAAATTTTATGAATATCAAACAAGTATGTCTCCCAAAAGATGAAACATAAATGTTGAGAGACAAGAAATTTACCAAAAGTGGAGGTGGCTTCAATGGAGAGATCATGAAAGTGAGCAAAAGTAGAGACTCTAATGGAGATCAAGTCTTCACCAATACTCTCTTGTCGTTTTTGAACAAGCATGCCTCCTGGCCTAAGTTCCCATTTGATCTCATAGTTGCTGGAGCTACTATTGTTGTTGTTACTAACTCCCTTTTGTTGTTGATCTTGTTGTGTGCCTTTGTTGTTGATTCTTTTACCAAATCCAAATCTAATCCCAAACCTCTTGGACTTAAACTTCATCATATCTTTCTACTTTGATTTCTATGGAGTTTTTCTTTTCTGTTTTCTCTCAAGCTTTGAGATACATAAATAGAACATGGAAACATTTAGGTGGTTTATATAAGAGACAGAAGTTAAGATAAGGACAAAACCACATACATACTTGCATGTGCAAGTTGCTTTTTATATAATGTACAAGTCTTCCTCTTTTATATACTTTTTTTGTTTATGTTTATGTAATTAACTATGTGGAGTCAATTGTTATAGTATAAGATATTAGCCATGAATAAGTGCCGACAAAGGATAAATCAGATTTAAATAGGATTGATCGAGACTGTTAAGAGAAGAGTTGCAGCACATGGGCGATGGTTCGACTGCTTATAAACAATGTTTCCTTGATTGGAGGATCCCGAACGCGACAAAATGTAAATAAATTGAAAACAATCAACATTATGTTACTAATGTTAATTAATCAAAATTATATATTATGGGTAGGCTTTGTTTTGTCTAGGAATTTCGGCGTACCAACCTTGTTGTATTAAAGGTTATCTCAGTTTGACAAAAAAAATTCATACTTTTTTTTTTTTTTTTTTTCTGACAACACTATATATAATCATGCTAAATGCATTACAAAATTTCGAAGGCTTTTCTATGGTGATACTATATTAGCGAATACATGAAGGTATTTACAATGCAAAAATGTTGAGAAAAAAACAAAGCAGAAATAACATATGATTCATATAGTTATTTAACCATGTATGATGTACCTAATCAAGTAAAAGGGACACTAGTTTAGTTACCTAATCAAGGAAAAGGGACACTAGTTTAGTTTGTTCTTTAATGCCAATGAAAGTGATTACGTTTCTTTCGGATGGGTAAATTTGAATCTTGTGAAAAGATCGCTATGTCTCCCATGTGGTAGGAGGGAGAAGACTGTAGGAGTAGGACCATTTTGGAAAATTAATAATGCGTATGGAAACCTTGTGAAATAATAACGACAAATGATCAAATTATAAGAAAATGGCTTATTAATCAGGTCAAGGTTAGAAGAACATATATCACTCTGTGAGTCTTTTATTAATCTTAACAAAAGACAAATATATTTTACCTTAAAATATAATTAAACAATCATGAACTGAAATCCACGACTAATTTGCATTCACTTTAGTGTTATAATGAAGTATAATTAAAAATCTTCAAGATTCTAAATCTATATATACATTTTTGAATGACTTTTAGCAAATAAATCCTGGAGTTGGACCTTATTTACGGATGAATGCCATTGGCATTAATTATTTAAATTTGAAAAATATTACTTAAAGATATTACCAATACGATTTCGAGAATCATAAATTCATATCTTCCTTAATTTTCTGAGTCATTAATGTGATAATCTTTAGGAAATATTTCTCTGTAAAAAAAAAAATCCACATTAATGAAGGCATTAAAATCGACACTAACAATTAAATTATTTAGATGTTCAATTATTTTAAGATTCTTATATCTTATTTGATATTTTTTTTTTAATATCTCATTCTTTAATTACTGCGTTTAGAATTTATTGGTTGTTACCTATTTTTTGGTGAAATTAATTGGTTGTTACTTAATAAGTAATTATGGTGCGTTTATTTTAGTTAATATCTAATTTAAAGGATTTGTTTTCTTTTATTACTAATAAATGAATAACATGTATAGAAATAAAAGATTTTTTTTGCGACTCCATAATAAAAATATTTGCGACTCCATAAAAAAAAATCCACATTAATGAAGGCATTAAAATCGACACTAACAATTAAATTATTTAGATGTTCAATTATTTTAAGATTCTTATATCTTATTTGATATTTTTTTTTTAATATCTCATTCTTTAATTACTGCGTTTAGAATTTATTGGTTGTTACCTATTTTTTGGTGAAATTAATTGGTTGTTACTTAATAAGTAATTATGGTGCGTTTATTTTAGTTAATATCTAATTTAAAGGATTTGTTTTCTTTTATTACTAATAAATGAATAACATGTATAGAAATAAAAGATTTTTTTTGCGACTCCATAATAAAAATATTAAACTCTTATTTTCTACATTTCTTACACATAATATCCTCTTATTCAATAACAAAAAATATATATTACATATTTTTAAAAATATTTATAATATTTAAATTATATAAAAAATTTGTAATATTAATATTATTTCAACTCTATACAAATTTAATATATATGTATATATATCTTATGGGAACCATTTAAAAGAAATTTTTAAATTGACTTGAATTATATAGCTTTTAAATAAAAGTATTATTAAAAAGAAAAATAACTAATTAATGTTTAATTTCACGGGACGGGTAATATGATGAGACGGGTTTGGGTTGATATTTATAAAAGATCGTATACCACGGGTGAAATCCTAAAATTAACAATCAAAATAATCTATCAAACAAATTACATTTTGATTTTTTTAAGAAAATATAGCCCTGCGGTATACCGCGGGTTAAAATCTAGGAGATGTTGCTTGTACGGGTTGAATTTTATTTCAGGATTATAGAGATAAAAGTAAAGTGTACTCCCCAAATAATAATATTATATATATTTCAGTTAGCTTAAAAATTAAAAGATCGTATACTTCAGGATTTAAACTTTTTTCTGACAAAAATACCCTTCCTTTGTCATTAGTACTAATCTATATATACATTTTTGGATCACAATTAGCAAATAAATCCTGAAGTTGAGAATTATTTACAATGACATGCCACTAGCATTAATTATTTAGATTTGTTTTATTTAAGTAAAGATTTTTAATTGAAATTCATTTCTCATATATTTAGCAAAAGTCTCTACAAAATCTTTCCTTGTCTATTTAAGTAAAGATTCTGAAATCAAATATGTTCTCAACAATTTACCAAAAATCTCTACACAATCTTTTTAAAAATCTCGACTTAGTTAACTTCTGATTTTTATCTGCAAAAAAAAAAATTAATTGTAACAGTTCTCAGAATTTGCAATAAATAATAAATCCAGATGACAAAAAAAAAAAGTGATGTAAAAATCGGAAATGTTGATACTACAATTTCTTCTATTTCTTTTTTTCATATAATGAAAATTATTTTTTAGGGATATTTAATATTTTCTTAAAACCTCTAAACAAAACAAAGGGTTTCAAAAGATAGCTTCTCTTTTGGCGGGTGGATCCGCAAACCCGCAACTCTCTACGGGCTTATCCGCATGAACCTGCAACCCATAGTGGATAAAAATATTATTCAAAAAAAATAACAAATGATGTTTAATTTTACGGGACGGGGTTATATGGTGCAACGGGTTTAGATCAATATTAATATTAAACAATATACTATGGATGAAATCCTAGAATTAAAAATCAAAATTTAATTATAAAATCAGAAACACTAAACAAAATAAACAATATTAACAAAACAAATACAACTTAAAATTTTGCAAAGTAATTTTTTAGTTATAAAAAAATTGACCCGCGGTGTACCGCGGGGTAAAATCTAGATTTGGAAGTTTAAGGAGAAATTTTTTTAAAAAAAAAATAATAGCTCCGCGGTGTACCGCAAGAAAAATCTTTCTCCTAAACTGTAGCAAGAAGAAGAAAAGAGCCAAATGTCGTTTAAGTGTATATATAGATATACCATTTAAACCTAAAACACAATTAATATACTCAAAATTATTAATATAGATATATGGATGGTACATTTATAAAATAGGTCGAAATATTTTATTATACTCTCTATTAATAAACAAAACTAATTATATTTAGATTTTTTTAAAAAAATTATAGCCCCGCGGTGTACCGCGGGTTCAAATCTAGTTAGTAATTAACTGTAGCAAATTGTTCCAACTATATCAACAAATCCTTATGTATTACTTGCGATCTCATCTTTTGATTAACTAAATCCATGTTGTTTGTATTTCGTGTCATTTATAATTTTATCAATATTGTTTGATGTTTTCTCTTTCAGTATAATTAACATAATTTATCTATTTTAGATTTGTTAGCTAGCTATAGTTACGTCCATTGACCCTGGTTTTTCAGGTCTAAGACATCAGATTAGTGTTTGTGCCCAAAAAAAAAAAAAAAAAAAAAAAAGACATCAGATTAGTGTTTAGTGATTACCTTCTGTGTCTTACCATGTGATTAATCTCTGATTAAACTATGGATCTTTAACATAACCAAACCATACATACACATGTATATAATCATGTATGTAATTATTGATGGACAAGATGAAATGACATAGCAACATGTTGTCGTAGCTAGAAGACGGCTTTTGAGATATGGTGAATCCCCATTTATATTTCTCCTGTAACAAACTTGATCCACTAACATGGTTGCCCATCATAGTTATACATACATACACATATGTAAATATAGAAAATGTAATATATATGTATCCAGCCCCGACTCAATATATTTGAGAGCCTTATGGCAAAAAAAATTTTTTTGGCCTATTATTATATACAAAGAGAAAATTTACTTAATTTTTAAAAATTTTGCGGAGTTTTTATAGTAAAAATTGTTATTTTAAAAATTTTGGGCCTTTTTATACATTTTCTTATAAATAATTAGGCCTCTTAAAATATAATTCTCATATTAATAATATTTTTAAAAAATATTTGGACCTTTTTTATATGTAAAATTTTTTTATAAAAAAAAAACTCCGGGCCGTCGCACCTCCGCCCTACCCATGTGAGCCGGGGCTGTATGTATCTATGCACACAATAATGTTTGTGGACATTTTTATACATGCATTATATGTTTATGTGCATGGGCCAGACATGTTTATTGGATTTTTACAAAGGAACATATATCCTTTGTACCCAACCTAATTATGGTCTTCAATGCATCTTTTGATCTTTATGCATGTCATGTGGAATTTGTAATCTATTTCCGTTTGAATGAAAAGATACATAGAAATATTTTAAAATATAATTTTTGTGAAATAGATTTATAGTTGCCATTAAAAAAAAAACTAATTTATTAAAACTAACACACCTTCATACAGAAATATTACATAAACACTTTTTGACCTTATCTATTTTATTTTTAGTAAACAATAGCATTATTACGCAATAGATAAAAATTAAAACGCATATTTTGCAGTAAAATAAAAACAGATATAAAAACTATAAATGATCACCATAAGGGCCTTTAAATAAAACACACGTATTGGGCCAAGTTATTGGGTTTAATTGTCTAAACGACACCGTTACATGGTTTTCTCTTCCATCAGTTGAAGCTTACCCGCTCATGGGAGATTGGATGGCCACAAGCGCACCGCACCACACAACTTAACTAAAACCATCTCTGTTTGGGTTGCGTCCGAATTTTCGAATTCGAGATTGTTGAAGAATCTGTGTTCGGGGGTTTTTGTTGTGTTTCGTGACGAATTGTACGGAAAAGTTGCGACCTTGAGGAATTTCAGTTCATGGGTTATTGCTTTTCCCGGTGAATTTTGCGGCAACATGCGAAATTGGAGCGTTTGGTTTCTCTTTTGATTGTTCTTGCTGGTGATATTGTGTTGGAAAAAGATGCAAGCTTTAAGCATTTGGCCATTAAAGTCTGGTCTTTTAGTTGGATCGAGATTGGAATTTGAGTTGGATTGTTCTTGTTTTGTAGTTAGCCATAAGTCTAGAAAGAGGCATTGTTCTGCTCAACAGGGTTGCTTTGGTAGAATCTCTAGCTTGATCTTGGTTTCGAGTAATAGGAAATTTGAAGGTTTGGCCGTTAATCCTACCTCGAAAGTTCTGTTTCTGTGTGAGCCAAAGAGAAATTTGTCGGGATCATCAGTTGGGGTGGGATGGGCCACGGAGCAACGGGAGCTCGGGGAAGAAGTTTCCACGGAAGATTCAAGTTATCCACAAACTGTAAATGGAGGAGAAAAAACCAATTCAAGAGTTGATGTTAGAGAATTGGCGTATAGTTTACGAGCTGCTAAGACAGCGGATGATGTGGATATTGTTATCAAAGAGATGGGAGAATTACCTCTACAAGTCTATTGTGCTATGATTAGGGGTTTTGGCAAGGACAAGAGATTGAAGCCTGCCATAGCGGTAGTAGATTGGCTTAGGAGGAAGAAGAGTGAATCAGGCGGTGTCATAGGTCCAAACCTATTTATATATAACAGCCTTTTGGGTGCGATGAAACAGTCGAGTGTTGGGGAAGCAGAGAAGATACTGAGTGATATGGAGGAAGAAGGGATTGTTCCAAACATTGTTACTTACAATACTTTGATGGTTATTTACATGGAGAAAGGGGAGTTTCACAAGGCCCTTGGGATTCTTGATTTAGTCAAGGAAAAAGGTTTTGAGCCTAACCCGATAACATATTCAACGGCTTTGCTTGTCTACAGAAGAATGGAAGACGGTATGGGAGCTCTCGAGTTCTTTGTTGAATTGAGAGAGAAATACTCAAAGAGGGAAATAGGGAATGACGCCGATTACGATTGGGAATTTGAGTTTGTTAAGCTCGAAAATTTCATTGGTAGAATATGCTACCAAGTGATGAGGCGGTGGCTGGTGAAAGATGAAAACTGGACTACTAGAGTGTTGAAGCTTTTGAATGCAATGGACAATGCGGGGCCTAAACCGAGTAGGGAAGAGCATGAGAGGCTTATATGGGCATGTACGCGTGAAGAACATTATATTGTTGGTAAAGAGTTGTATAAAAGAATCAGAGAGAGGTTTCCTGAGATAAGTCTATCTGTCTGCAACCATTTGATTTGGCTGATGGGTAAGGCTAAGAAATGGTGGGCAGCGTTAGAGATCTACGAGGATCTTCTTGACGAAGGACCTGAACCTAACAATTTGTCTTACGAATTAGTGGTCTCTCATTTCAATATTTTGCTGAGTGCAGCTAGTAGGAGAGGGATATGGAGATGGGGAGTTAGGCTACTTAACAAAATGGAAGATAAAGGATTGAAACCGCAGAGCAGACATTGGAACGCGGTTCTTGTAGCGTGTTCAAAAGCCTCTGAAACCACAGCTGCGATCCAAATCTTTAAAGCAATGGTTGACAATGGTGAAAAGCCAACAGTAATCTCATACGGTGCGCTGCTCAGTGCTCTTGAGAAAGGGAAGTTATATGATGAGGCGTTTCGAGTTTGGAACCATATGATTAAGGTAGGGATTGAGCCAAATCTTTACGCATACACGACAATGGCTTCAGTTTTGACAGGACAGCAAAAATTCAATCTTTTGGATACCCTTCTCAAGGAAATGGCATCAAAAGGTATTGAGCCGAGCGTTGTGACTTACAACGCAGTTATAAGCGGTTGCGCGAGGAACGGGTTAAGTGGTGTGGCTTACGAGTGGTTTCACAGAATGAGAGGTGAGAAGGTCGAGCCTAATGAGATAACCTACGAGATGTTGATCGAGGCTCTTGCGAATGATGCAAAGCCAAGGCTTGCTTATGAGTTACATTTGAAGGCTCAAAACGATGGGCTTAAGCTCTCTTCTAAGCCATACGATGCGGTTGTTAAATCAGCTGAAACTTATGGAGCCACCATTGATCTTAATCTGTTGGGTCCTCGACCACACAAAGAGAAGAGAGCTTAGTCTGATACAATATTGTACAAGAATAATTTTTATGACATGCTTAAACAGACTTGGGGTTGAGTTTTTAATTCTGATTAATCAGTATAAAAAGATATTTCGTCGGTACAAAAATACAGATTCTCCAAAATAAATCGTTTTTTTTTTTTTATGTTCAAACGGTTCAGAGTATATGATCGTCCTCTGTTCCCGCCAAAAACAGAGAAATAAATTACTTAACCAACCACTAACACATATCTCTCCCACTATCTCCATCTCTCCCTTTTTCTTATAAAATCCGAAATTTATCAACCAGAATTTACTCTATTGTTGCTGATCATTCTGAGGCGCAGAAAATCAATACAGAGACTTTAAATATGTTTCTTTGGCTTGTTATTGTCTTAACGATTTCAGTTTCTGTCTCTTCCCATGAACACAAACTTAATTGGGTAGTTCCTCCTGCAAATTCTTCTGAGAGTTTCAATGATTGGGCTTCCAATAAACGGTTCCAAGTCGGAGACATCATTCGTAAGTATACTTACCCAACTCAACTCAAAAATTTCCAACTTTTTAACATCAAGTTTGATTTATTTGTTTTTCTTACGTTTGTTCTGTTTCTTTTGGTGGGGTTTGAAAGAATTCAAGTACAGGAAAGACTCAGTGATGCAAGTGACGAAGGGGAGTTACAAGCAATGCAATTCTTCGCACCCGAGATTCTACTCGAATACGGGCAAGACCAGATTCATGTTTGATCACTCTGTGCCTTACTACTTCATAAGTGGGACCTCTGGCCACTGCGAGAAAGGTCAGAAGATGATCGTCGAGGTCATATCTCTCGACCAGACCACTACCTCCTCTGCTCCTCCGGCTGCCTTGGCTGTTTTGTTATGCTTATTCAGCCTCTCTTTATCTTTTGTAGCTTAGTATCACGCGGTGCCTAATATGGGTTTGGTTTGCTTATAGTTTGATTGTATTCATCATGACTTATGTGTTCATTTGTTCAAATGGGCTTATTTTAAGCTCCGACGGCCCATGTCCAATTCAATGGGCTTGTTTCGTCCGTTTTATTCTGTCTTCCCAGTTCGACATATACATGTAGCTTTGGAGATGGTTTTTAAAATTTACAAGTTTTCTTCTTAACAGGTAAATGTTTCTATAAGATATTATAAGTAAGTTATCCTGTACGCTTACACGTAATAGTTTAGTTATATCCCTCACTTAAAGTTGTGTAGTTAATACAATTAAAAATATAATTATGAAAAGTATAGAAGTTAATTGAATGATTGCAAAAATCCAAACACTTGACGCAAGCAACATGCGCGTCGTCATTGTCTTTTATCCCAACAACTACCATCACCATGATCTAAAACTGTTTAAAAAAATGTTTTAACCATCATTTATTTTGGTCCGATCAAATCAAATCTTCTTAAAGAAAAATAAACAAGACTTATTCGATATTTTAGTAGAAGTGATTACTTCATTGATTCTTTTACAACAAAGTAATAATAATAATCAAATGCATGATGCTTCGAATGAAAGTAGGTATAATTGTTATTTATTTATTTTTTTGTTATTTTTTTTTTTGTAAAAGTAGGTAAGTACCATTTCTTTTGTAACTCATTTTCGCGAGTTTCATTTTTTTTCTTTCTTATAAAGGGTTTGTTAATATCAAAAGTTTAGTTTATTCTATGTTTTTTCCAATCCATGAAAGGCCGCATTGACCTAATTCACCTAACTATAAAGAACACATTGATAATATATATATATAGTGAGCCTATAATAGAAATTAATACAAAACTTATTGTGTCGCACATGTGGGTTATATGACTGGATTTGCTATTCACCCGTTTTTTTAATTTTTTTTTTTTTGAATAACCGTGGGTTTCCCAAAGGCTTCTTGGGCCCAAAAACTAATCCCACAAAGCTGACAATTCCCCTATGTAAACCTGCCAGTAGCCGTGCCTCGAACCCTGGTGGCGGAAGTCACAGCTGTGACCCCTTTTACCACTAGGCCACAAGGCCTGTTTTTTAAATTTAAAAGTGTTACTATTTTATATCTCGATATATAGTTTTCGTGTGAAACTTCAAATTTGACAATGAAACATTATTTGAACAGCAACGATGATGGTGATCCTGACTTTGACCGATTAAACTAGAATTGACATTATAATTTTCAAAAAAAATGATATAGATTATTCAACTGAGTAAAATGTTGTCGTCATATACTTATTCCTCGTAAATTAGTCATTACTGATATATGCATACATATTGTATGAGCAAATTATAATACAACATCGCACGCCTTGCATAATCCACATCTTACATACAAGAGACTAAGCAACTATTAATTACTTGCGATAATTATATAGATATGTTACAATGTTTTTTTTTAAAGATATATTACAATGTTATAATACATTTTTCATAAAAAGAAAAGACTATCATCAAGATTGGCGAAGAGGTCCCATGGTACAAAAGGATCCGTCATATCCAAGTCCCATTGCTCTAAAGAGATCGAATCTTCTGCAAGATATGATGAAGATTCACTTCTTGAAATATTACTATATAACGAAGAGAAAGGCGAAGAGGATATCTCGTTGCCTTGCGTTTCAAATAGAGATTCCAAGTCTACTTCTTCTGCACATAGAGTTTTGCAGTTTTTCGGCAGAAGTTCCTCATCGTTATCAGATAATATTAATGTTTCTATTGTTTCTGTGATAACATCATCTTTTGGAGTTTGATCCTTGATCTCTGCTCCTTCATTGATGGTAGAACACATATTTGGTTTTGTATCCTGGTTAGGATCGGTTTGATGAGTAATATCATTCATCCGTTTGTGTGTAGCCGGATCCAACCCAAGATGTTTCATCTTCTTCTTGATCTTCGTATTCCAGTGGTTTTTTATCTCGTTATCCGTTCTACCAGAGAAATGTGAGGCAATTTTAGACCACCTACGACGTCAAAAGCATCCATAAATGATAAAACATGCAAAAAGCGTTTAGCATATATCGTGATTATATCAATAGACACCTTTTGAAGGATATAGTCTACGACATGAAAGATATATATACAAAAAATTTATATCGTATGTAGAAATCTCCACATATATTTTTTTCATAGCCGATTCACTCAGAAATAACCCACTTCAATGCACAAGTACTTTATACGTCAAAACATTTTTTTCTTTGGTTTTAACCCACTTCCATGCATAAGTACATATATACGTCGTCGTCGTCAAACTCAGTTTTTCTTTTCTTGAAGCATTATCATACATATTTATGTTTTGCTGTAAATATTGTTTGTAACCCCTATAAAATAAACAATTCAATTCTTTTTATACCATTCTCACAATTCTTAGAAAGATATATAAATGAGTTAAAGGAAGCTGTTTATAAGAAAGATAAAAATTGAAGGAGACTGACTAAAACATATCGGATTAAATAAAAGCACGATGTTACATTCGAGAGAGATTTCATTTGCAAAATCTAGTTTGACGCCGGCAAATTAAAAAATATGTTAAAAATACATATATATATATATATATATATATAATCGTACCGGTTGCCAAGTTGAGAGTGAAGTTCTATAATCCGATCTTCTTCAGCATCAGTAAAACCACCTCTCTTGAGATCGGGTCTCAAATAATTGATCCATCTCAATCTACAGCTCTTCCCACATCTCAACAAACCTTCATGTACACGTAAACGTTAAACTCCCCAAGAAAAAAGGGAAAAAAGAAAAACAAAAAACCAAGAAAATAAAACCTAATTATGCATGCATGTATATATGTATGTGTATGATGAATAATGAAATACCTGCGAGTTTGGGGACAATTCTCCAGCAGTGGATGCCATTGTTAAGAATGAAATTCATGAGTCTATGATCTTCTTCTATAGTCCATGGACCTCTCTTCAATCCAATTTTGTCACAGCACGGTTTTCTCCCCATTGAAAATTTTTAAAAGCAAGCTAATGACATTTACCAAATATATTCTACATATAGCCAATGCTTTTTTTTGGGGCAAACATATAGCCAATGCTAAATTAAAGCAAACCAAGAGAACTTGAGCTAGACAAAAATATAAAGAAGAGAGCGTTGGATCAAGTAATGGGCACTGCTTATAAATAATAAGTGGTGAGTTGGGAAGGGCAAAGATTCTCTCTTTTGACAGGTCACTTACAGGCTAAAAGACAAATAAATCCAAATTTAAAGCAAAACACTAATAAGTGAAGCAGTAAATAATGATTGCAGAGACAATTAAAGAAAGATTTGGTGAGAAGTGTGTGAGGTTGTATTAGAATACTCCATCCGTTTCGTTTTAGTTGTCGTTTAAGGTTTTTTCACACAAATTAAGTAAAACATTTAATTTTTTGTTTTACCCTTTATTAATATATTTTATAAAAAATTTCATTGGCCAAAACATTAAAACAATAGGGATAAAACTGAAATTTCCACCAAACATTTGCATTGAAAACCTAAAACGATAACTATTATGAAACAAAATTTAAATCCTAAAACGACAACTAAACTGAAACGGAGAAAATAATTAATATGAACTTGTCGACAAACTTTCTTTTGAGCTAATGATTCATTAATTAATTATCAAAGTTTGCACTAAAGCCATACTTAAATTTAATAGGTATAGATAAATTAAATGCGATCAACTATATATGCTAATAAGCATATAAACAGTATATAATTATATTTTGTTGTTTCTATAAAGAGCTAATTAATTATTTTATGTGGTGACAAATGCATAATTTATTAGTGGTTGAGATATATAGCCTACTAATTTGTATTAGTGTCGTCATCATACTATATTATCTAGATTTATTAGTCTATATGTAATTTATAGACGAGAAAATATAATAATATAGTTAGTATTCTAACTAAATTTTATAACTGACATGGTGATTAGTGATTACCGACAAATTAGACACATTGAATTCATTTAGTAATCAGTTTTTTTTTTTTTTTTTGAAACTGAAGTAATCTTAAAATTGCTATTTTTAAAAAAGGGTAATCAGAAAATTGCTATTTTCAGTTACTTTCCTACAAAATATGCACTCAAAACATGCATATTTAATGTTTTAAACACTCATTTAAAAACAAGTTACCCTATAAATACCAGTGTTCAAGAAAGCGCTAGGCGCTAAGCGGGCGGTGACCCAGTGCCTAGCGCCTAGAACGCCTAATCAGGGCCTAGACGATTTTTTAGGCGGTTTAGACGTTTATAACATAAAACATTATCAATATAATATTATATATAAAAGTTATATAAAATATCTATATAAAACTAAAAATTATGAAATTATATATAAAAATTAGATAAAATATTTATTTATATTTATATTAAACAATATATGAATATTTATAACTATATATATAAATAAAACTCTAATTGAAATTGAAAAAATATATTAAACAAGATCTATATAATTTTAGGCGGTCAAGGCGGTTATCTAGGCGTCGCATGAGAGCCTAGCGCCTAGTCGGGGCCTAGGCGACCGCCTAGACCGCTTTTTAGAACACTGATAAATACATAAAGATCTAAATTTTCGATTTTGACGATGTATCAACCGAGAAGTAGAGTCAGTTATCTTTACATTAAACAAAAAAAAAAAAAAAAAAAGTAGAGTCCATGGCAAATTTAATTGGTCATTAATTTTTTGTGTATCTAAGATAAAAATCAAATAATTTCTTTCAATATTCTAATATTAGTTTCTCATTAGAGATAACACTTTAAATAATTAAAACATCCGGTTTTACAGATTCAAAAGAATCATATAAATTTTAACTTGAACTTTCTTGAGTAAAAAAGACACTAATATTATTATAATAAAGTTTCCATAACTACGAGCATATTTGTTTGTTTTATTGTAAATTTTACTCTCTCCGTTTCAAAATATAAGACATTCCAATATAAAATAATAATAAAAGTTTTACTAGTAACTAAGTATTAATTGTATGTTTTTATTAAATAGGTTTAGTATAACATGTTTTTTGTTTTTATTAAATACTTTAAAAAGAAAAAAGATATTTAAGCTTATATATGATTAGCAATATGATATATGTGATTACTTTAATTGGTAATTGAAGGAATTTCTTTGATTGATTAAAAGTTTGGTTAAAAGAAAACGATTTGAGATTTGTTTGGATTCATCGGTCCCCTCTTAAAAGCCTTGTGCTTATTCGCCATCAAGGCATCTTCTTCCTTTTCAATATTCTATTTGTAAATATTTTGTACTTGTTAAAAACATTTTGAGAAGTCGACTTTTTACGTCATAATTTGTTAGTTTGCACTGCACCGTCATGATTAAGCAACTTGCTTAATAAAGAAAGTCAAAATTTGAATTCATGTTTATCAAAAAAAAAAAAATTGAATTCATCTAGTCAGACTATAATTTTTAAGTCTTTTAAATTAAAGATATGAACCTCATCTTGAATGCCAAAACAAGAGAACTAGCATACTATTTTCTTCAATGGTACACTATTCACGACGATTAGTATTTATAAGATTTAACTTTCTTTGAAATATCCAAAACATTATATTCACGAATTATTGTCGTGAGTCGTGACAATACTTAAAACAATAACTTATCAAAGTTATAAATTTTACATACATCTTAATTATCAGACGAATCCCTTCTCTATAAGAAATATAATTTTTTTGGTAATTAAGGGAAACTATAAAATATAAGCAAGTCGTTGATATGTCATTGGAAAACTATAAGTTGGAACAATTTTTTTCCAATAATTTTTATTACAGTATACGGATTGTGTGTTAGATAGCAAGAATATCCATTTTATATGGATTTCAGGTTTAGTCATATTGAAATAAGTTGATCAGAAGAAATGAAGGGTAAGAGGAACAATTTGCATTAAAATACGGAGGGGTTTTCGCATTTATGCATGAAGGCATATTCTCCTTTTTTTTTTTTTTTTTTTCATCCGAAGGCATATTCTCCATGTACTTGAAGGTAGATGCATCTTATATCCAAAGATGGATCAAATATTAGAAATCTATCTAATTGTAGATCAGAACTGAATTACTTTAGGCCATAGGTCCTAGTCTATTATAATGTTCAGTTACCAACCTTAATTTAGGAATCTGATATATAGTAAAGCAAATTATATATCCAAATTGTATTAGTTTTTACCCGTGTTCAAAAAATCGCTAGGCGCTAGTCGGGCGGTGAGGTTGCGCCTAGCGCCTAGCAAAAAAATCGGGGATTACACGGGGATTAATCGGAGATTAGTTTTAGGGCTATTTAATATTTTAAAAACATATTAATCCATTATAATTAAGAAATTTATATAATATTGTTTTTAAAATTGTATTAAACACATGAAAACAAGATTTTAATTTCAAATTTATGATTTTTATACAAATTACGAACATAAGTAGGACGTTTTGAATTTTAGATGTAAAAAAAAAGTAAAAAAAAAAAAAAAAAAAAAAATTGGGCTAGGCGCCGTCTAGGCGGGCTAGGCGGCCGCCTAGGCGGTCTAGGCGGCCAAAAAATCGGATCTCCGATTTTTCTCACCGATTTGGACAAAATCGCCGCGGTGCTCCTCCGATCAGCGCCTAGGTGGCTAGGCGGCCGATTTTTAGAACAAGGGTTTTTACTATATTGAATATTTAATCCTTCATGCCTCATGATAATGTTATGTGAACGTTCAGTTTGTAATAGACAACTAGGTAACCGATCGAGCGAGTTATTAGACGTTAAACGAAATTACAGATTTGATTTATAATCGACGTACGTATATAAATGTTTCCATTCCGTACAGCGTACATGCATTATCGTTTGTATTATATATGTGTAATGTGTTTCTATACGGCCTTTATAGTCAACAAATTAACTAGTCTTTCAATATATTTAACTTTTGTGTGGTACATCAAGAAAATTAAATTGCAGCTAACCAAATATTTGATTTTGTTTTGGTTCACTGAACTGAACGAAATTTTAGAAAAATGTAATATATATAGAGAATATTGTATTTGTATATGGAATGAGAGGGACCTCCACAAAAACAATAATACATGAGAGACCGTTGGATAAAAGAGAGTATATGAGGGACTATATGTGTAATACAATATTAATACAAGCGACCAAATAAATTTAGGCCCACTTAAAAGCATAGAATGTTTTAGCCTATTAGGTCCAACTTAAACTTGTTTAATCACTAATTGGGCCTAAAGATTGAACTATACAAATGGATCACGTTACGTTACGTTACGTAAAATAGTCGTTTCTTTCTATCTCTAATATGTGGGTTTTATAATTTTACACTCGTTAACTAATTCTTCTTGCAAACATATCTACCGTTTTATCAAATTATTTGTACTACCTCAAAAGCCAAAACCCTGATCGGTCACGCATAATGTACATACGACATTTTCTTTGATCTCCGGTAACAGACCCGGATTGTGCTGGTCCTGCTGGAAGTTATCCTTAATCAAACCAAGTCAATTTGGTTTAGTCAAGAAACGTCCCTCGGATGTGAAGAAGTAACAGCTGTTCCAGAACGGCAAAACATACACGAAATTTTAAATGGGTGTCCACTAACAAATTCAGACATATCACCATGTTCACTCTGTCCTTTTTTTTTCCATTTTTAAAAAATATTCTAAGTGAGCAACATGTAAATGATAACGACTTTAGGCCCTCTCAACATCAGGACTCATTCTCAAGGGTTGACTTTTAAACCCAATAAACATTTTTAATTTATAGGATTCATCTCTCTCTATAAATTCGACCCCCTTTGTTGATAGATCATACAGAGAACAACAAAGAAATAAACCAAAGAAGAAGAAGGAGGTGAAGAAGAAGAATATTCAAATGGCACCAAGAAGTTCTTTGATCCGCTTCGCCTTCGTCTGCATTGTCTTGGCTGTGATGGTCATGACTGCAGAATCGCATAACGGAACCCACCATGGTCCGGCTATGGCTCCAATGCCACCCAAGGCTCATGCTCCGTCTCCAAGTGCTGCCACTTTCTCCGCCTACCCTCAGCTCGTCGCCACCGCATTATTCGGTGCTTTGTCTTTCGTCTTCTGAGATGTGTTTCCATTCATCTTCAGATGTTTGTGTCTCTCTGAGTTTTTTATTTTTATTTTTCTCATGTCTTCCTTGTTTCTTTCTGTTTCTTCAAAGATTGTGATGTTCTGTTCCTATCATAATAATGTCGTCTATTGGTGTTTTAATCGTTTTTAATTTTTCCTCTTTTTCGAACCAAATCTTCTAATCAAGGCATTATAATGTAATGGCCCGTTTGATCAAAGTTGGACTTTCTTTTTAAAATCAATTAATCCATAGCCTTTTACTCACTTTATAGATATATAGAACAGATAAAAATATCCAAAGTAATTAAAAATAAAAATAAAACGAGTCTGCCTAAACAAATTAAACAATGAAATGCAGGCCTTACGTGACACTGTCATGGGCATGCCTCAACAATATATATTTAGGGTGCATTTGCCATTTAGACGTTGGTTTCAAAAGCAATGAGTTTATATCCTTACTCATATCCAGAGCCGGCTCTTTGCACAAGTCAATGAAGCATGTGCCTCTGGCCCCATAATATAAATGTCTTAATCGGCCCCAAATTTATAAAATGTCTCGTTAGTCTAGTGGTTTAAGTGTTAAAAGATACTATCTGGTATCTTGAGTCCGATCCCTCATAAAGACAGTTTTTACATTTTTTGATTTTTTTGCTTTGTTCACATAATAATTCAGCCCAAACATTAATTGGGCTTGTAGCCCCTATATTTACTGCGCCGGCTCTGCTCATATCTATACGACTATACTAAACAACGACAAGCTTTAAACTAGTTTCATGGGTCTCAAAGCATCATAAAACAATAAATATCAACGAAACACTCGAATATTGTAGTAAACTTGCAACCATGAATGCAAGTTACAACTCCAATGAATCAGATATATGTAAGATGAAAAAAGTACAAATACCTTAAAATACATTTAAACAACATGACAATAACGAAGTCAACGACCATCTCAATATTTTGACCATCTCTCTCTCTTTTTTTTTTTTTTTTTTGTTGTTGTTGTTGTTAGTAATTATAAAAAAAAAGTGTTGACCATCTCAAGATATAGTTAACAAGACTCATTCTCATCCGTTGAGTTTGCATCTATCCACTTACCATATTTTTATACAATCTTTTTCTACCATGACTCTATCCTCAATAGCAAGTTAGCAACGTGCCCACATGGACCACTCAAGGGCCAAGGATCAAGCCTTTCGTCTTTCTGATCAAATGTGTGTCCGTCACTGATCACCATTCATCTTAGTTCTTAAGAAACATATCTATAAATCAATTCTTTTTTGTTCATCACTTTTTTTTTGTTCAACAGCTATAAATTCAACTCAAAAGAGCTATCTTTGAGAAAAGTTATTTACATGACGCGGTTTGGTACGGTACAAACTATTCATCACTCGTTTTCTCATTTTAGTTTTACGTAGATATAAAAACTAAAAAATGACGGTGATATTCTTTATATGACGTAGATATAAAAAAAAAAAAGTATATAATATTTTGAAAAAGAATGAGTAATAAATAAATAGTGTGACTCCTGGGCCTTAGGATACAATAACGAGGCTGGCTCAACAAAGAATAAAGCCCAATAAGTAATTGCGTTTTGGATTCGACGTTTGCCTTATCCGTTGAGCTCTCTCTTCTTCCTCTGAATCCGAAATTCCTAGGAAGAGAAGAGAACAATGGCGCAGATGGTTGCGATGCCCGTAGCGCACTCGCTCTCACTCATTTGCAATTGGACAAAACCCAGTCCTCTCTCTCGCAACACTCTTGCTCTCCCAGCTTCAAACACTCCCAATGTAATGATTTCTCAAGAACTCTATGTTGTAATCGATTTTATCGAGTTTGATTTCATGGCGTTTTGATATGTGCTACGTCAATTTTTGGGGTTAGGGATTAGAAGAAATCATGTGTGGGTGTCACAGTTTGAGCCCTAGTCAGACTCCATCAATTTTGAGGGTATTTGTATCTGGTTTTTAAAGTTTTGTTTTTTTTTTTTTTGGTATTGAAATGCAGAAGCAGAGTCTAAGTATCAGATGTGCTCGTGTTGGTGGTGTGGAGATTCCGGCTAATAAGAGGATTGAGTACTCTCTTCAGTACATTCATGGGATTGGTCGAACTAGGGCTCGTCAGATTCTTGTTGATCTTCAGATGGAGAACAAGATCACTAAAGACATGGCTGAGGAAGAACTCATCATTCTTCGTGATGAAGTCTCCAAGTATATGATTGAGGGTGATCTGGTATACACCCTATCCCTTACATTTTACTCGCTTTAGGACACGAGTAATGTGCATAGTTGCAGTTTCTGTCAGTCTATTCTCGAGCAGTTTATTGCAGAATGGGTATTTGTATCACTTCTTGATGATTGGAGAACAACTTACGCTGCTATCTTTTTGCTGTTTTAATTGCTTTAGTTTGGGTTTCATGTTGTTTTGATTTGTGTTCTTAGGTCTTAGTTGAATGAATTTGTGATTTGTGTTGTGGATGTTTGTGCAGAGGAGGTTTAATGCTCTTGCGATCAAGAGGTTGAAGGAGATCCAATGTTACCGTGGGGTAAGGCACATCCAAGGATTGCCATGTCGGGGACAGAGAACCAAGAACAATTGCAGGACTCTTAAAGGCAAGAAAATTGCCATTGCAGGGAAGAAGAAAGTTTCCAAATAACCATCTTCATGATTTCCTTCTTGTTCTGTAATACTCTTTTTAGTTTTTTTTTGTCTAGTCTCTCTGTTTAAAATGTGATTTGTAATTCTAAGACTTGGTTCGAAATGAGCACTTTCCAGTATATCTTCGGCTTCTTGGCTATTACTTATTATTATTCCATGTCTTCACCATTCATTATAAAGTTATACAGAAAAAGTTGAAGATTTCAGCATTCAAGAATGTCTCATTGGGTTTAGTGGTGGAGAATCTGCAAATAATCATATGAAATGTTCATTTTAATTCCACTCCAATGGTTAGATTCTAGTGTTTCTAATAATGTTAAAGGCATGCTCCAAGATGCTGATGTCAAACCAAGAACAAACTTGAAAATTTGGTCGAACCAAAATGGTTTATTCAGAATACGTACATATGAATACATAATTAACCCCAAAAAATAAATTTGATAACTTTGCAAAAAGACTCCATCTTGGATTGTCTCTAAATCCTACCCAGGAAATCTTGCTATCACACAAAAATAGGAAGAAAATGAATATTAATAACAGGGTAAAAATTTTCAGTAAGAGAATTCATGGCCGCGGATTGAAATGTATTTCTTGACCCAAATGGCAATATCTTCGGCGCAGGCCTGTGCCTGAGGAGTCTTGAGAAGCATATCAAGTGTTGCAAACTCATGAACTGCGTCTTTGTATTCTAAAACTGGAGAATCTACGTTTACCTTTCTAAGCTCTTCTGAATAAGCAATGGCTCGGTCTCTCATCCAGTCATGCTCAGCTACTACTGTAAGTGTTGGAGGCATTAGCTTCAGAGGTGGTCCACTGCGGTTATGAGCAAGTGGGTTTGCTGCCGGGTGGTCAAAGTCGAACTCTTTCTCTGGTAAGAAGAGTTTCCAGGCGAGAACAGAGACAGGCTTATCGTAGAAGTAAGAGTTTGCAAGCTTTATTTCGGACTGTGTTGGGTTATTTCCAATGAAAAAGGGGTACATTAGAACCTGTGCAACAACTTTCACCGGTTCTAGAAGTTTCCCAGCTTCCACTGCTTTCCGAGCTACATAGTCTGCTATATTCCCACCACAGCTCACCCCGAGAAGAACACATCTGTTTTAAAGTCATAGGGGCAACAAGTTGAGAAACAGAATTTGATATGAGATTGCAAGCAATGGAAGATAAGCTATCTAAGTGGATCTAACTAGTTCTCCAAAGAATCCTGACTTTGTACCTAGTTATTCCTAAAGATCAACGTGCAACTATTCTAAAGATCTTATATGCCGAAACGGGTTTAAATTCCAGGAAGCAATCTCTGCAAACAAGCATCAACATCGCTGTAACAATAATCAAAGCGTCTTCTAGCTTCAGTAAAGCTAAAGGCATTTCATGGATCCATACTAAATTCTTGAGAGCAATCCATACTAAGGTCGTTTACATCTAACTCTAGGTGTCTCTAAGCTCATACTTGTTAACTGATTAAGTTCATACTTCCTTTTGTCTTTAAGCATCACAGCTGATACAACTAGTAAAATGGGAAGACACACAGCGAGCAACAAGCAGGCAAGGTTACAAATACAAACCTGGAAGGATCAGCATGAGCTGCCAACCAAGGCTCAACCATGGAAGCTCCAAAAGCATCCACAATCTGTCCTTGAACATTTAACTTCTTAACCTCAACGCCATTGACGCGCCGATTACCCAAAGACTTACAACATTCAGCTAGATTAGCCTGTTTCCCAAGCCAATTCAGCACTTTGACTCCATCCTCAAACGCCGCAGGATACCGATTCTCAGGCGCAAGCCTATAACCAACGGCCAATACAATCACATCACATACTTTAGCAATTCTCCGGCAAAAGAAGTCATTAGCCGCAGAATCAGAACTTCCACTAACCCAACCTCCACCGTGAAACTGCAACATCACTGGAAGTTTCCGAGAATTCCTCTTCGCAGATGGCGCATATCCTCCATACGGTACTAGATTCTCGTTGTTGCAACCATAGCTGTTCCTTCGAGATTCATTCCTCTCCGCCGGTGCCGGAGAGTTATGATTAGGGCCATAGCTATGTCTCCGATCAGATCTGGGTTGGTGGTGAAAATGATCCTTGTGGCGTAACGAATCTGGTTCAGGTGGAGAAAGAGCAGATTCAGGAAGAAAGATCCTTACGGTGAGTGACGTCATTGGATCAATGTGAATATCTTTGGTCGCAACACCGTCGGTGAAAGACGGATTGGCGGCGGCGACGGATTCATCGGATCGGGTCGAAACACCGAACGAATCAGATAACCCATCAGCAGCTGAAATTGAAATCAGATTCTGGAGACGATGTTTCAAAAGTAACTTAAAGAAGACGCTATAGAGCTTCACAGCTACCCCTGGCATTTCCCTCCAGAAAAGACCAGATTTTTACGAATATTTCAAGAGAGAGAGATCACATCAATGGAGGCTCGCTAGGGTTTGTTTCCCAACTTGCAATTGAACCGATTTCTAGAACAATTAGGGAGATTGCAGTCGAAATTGGATGCAAAGAGTCAAATTTGATGAAGCCCAGTTTCGATTTCTATAAAATCAGACTAATTTACACGAAATGATGACGACGAAGAAGAAGAAGAAGAAAGAGAGAGAGAGAGGATTGTGGAGAAAGTGTCATTGGCTATTGCTATGAGAGAGAGATGAGAACAATAATCCTCTGAAACGCGGTTACCGTAACACGAAAGTTCTCTCTTGCTTTTCAGATTTGTAAAAAAAATTCTAGAAACGTACAAATGCTTAAAAGTTTTTTTTTTATAAATTGGAACTACATATTGAGTAAGATTCCAAAACTATTAATCATAGAGATTGACACTTCATTATGTTTTTAATCATAGACGTGTGGGCAAATTAAATGACAGCACCAAAATTTGTTTATTTTGTTACAAAATCCATAATTGATCACCTCATCTTGGTTATTTAAGAACACATTCATTATAATTTTAGTTTTCTTTTGGGCCGATTACATTTATTAAAAATTTAAAAGTTGTTAGATTTATGGTCACCAAAAGCTTAAGTTATGTTTAATTTGGGAATTTTAGAGGAAATCTAGAATAATTGTTTGACCATCCTACTCATACCTTGTTTTAATAGTTTTATTCATTGTACAAATGAAAATATAAGAAAGTTTCTCCAAACAACGATAAGAATGAGAAACAAAAGTAACCTTGAAAATTTCAAAAACTTTGGTCGCTCATGGTGAACTTGACCATAAATTAGAAATCAAGGACTTTACAAAGAAATGTATAAGACATTGGTCGAATTTGTAGAATATTAAACTGTCACTAATGGCCGTATTTTTTCAAAAAAGTTGACGACACTAGTTTGCAATATTTGAATCGGTCGATAAGGATTAAGGCCCATAAGATAATAGATGGGTCCAAGTTTCTTTCGAGGTGTGACACTTGTGACTTGAGTTGTTTATATTGAAGACCCACCCGATGAATAGCTTGTTTTTTTTTTCTTTTTTTCTTTCTATCATAACCTAATTTGCATTTTGTTTGTAGATATAAAAGACTATTCGAGTCATCAAATCGAAAGCTGCTGGAAAATCAGCTCCTATTTGCCCTAGTGAGGAAGTAGGTGGCATAGCTACCAAGGGCACTGACTCAGGTTAGATCAACCTTTGAACTTGGACTACTCATCTCTAGGTTTATGCATAAGTTAATCGATTAGTACAGTGATTGTTTAATTTGATGCTATATATTGTCGACTTAACCAGTAGATGTGTGGGAGTCTCAGACTCGATTTTGCTGTTAATTTTTCTTATATATATGGGGAGATTTTAGCTGAAAATTCCCTGCTTTCTTCTTAGATTTGGTTGACATAGCAACAAAAAAATGTCAACTGTTAAGCACAAGATTCTGGTTTTTATCAAGCAAACGCGGTGTTGGTAAGAACACTTTCTTGGTGGACCATCAAGTAGGCTAGATCAGGAGCCTCATGACTTTATCGACAAGTCTTTGCTTGAAACTGGATCTCATGCAGTAGAAAGGGAAATAGAAAGAGCAAGAGATGATGAGGCTCAACTAAAAACACAGCAACGGATACATTAGAAAAAGATGATCTGCCCAAAAAGTTGTTTGTGAAGGTAATATAGAAATCATCGATAAGAAAAGCATAAGTTATTGACGTGGGTGTTAAAACTTTTGAAGTAACACTATGTTAGTCCGAAGTGGTCAAGTAGAAATCCTTAAGATTTGACTATGTACTTCAAGTACAAGATTGACATTGTGGATCTTTCAGTTCAAAAGGTCTCATAGCTATTTCTTTAGATGTGAAGATGGTACCGGAAACAACAATGCAGTAATGTGGTAACATCCAAGAGAAAACAACAAAACATGACTAGTCCCACGATGTTACCAAATATTTGCATTGTTATATATTTTCTACGAGTTTTCCAAGGAAATACCTATGCAGTCAATTTCAAAGTAAAAGTGATCCCACAGTATCAGTCTTCTCCTTGAATATCATAGTCAAAGTTTAATTAGAGATCTTCTGCTTGATTTAATTTGGGACGAACATTTAGTTAGTTCGCTTCAAAAGTTTAAGCACCAACATCAGTAACATATGCTTTTCATATCGCCGATTTATGTTGACTTCACAAACAACATTTGCCCTGGTCATCTTTCTCTTATGTATATTTTTCGGTGTTTTCAGTTGAGCCTTCTCATCCCTTGTTTTCTTTATTTGTCTCTCATGCAGGAAATGCTGTTTGAAGTGAAGATTTCTACTCCTCACCTAATGGGTATATAGATAGGTGGGGGCCGAGCATCCCAAAAATGTTAGGCCTTGATGGTCTTCGTGGAAGACAATTAGACTTCATGATCCCTAACCCTGACGACGTGAACTGGAGAGGTCCACGCAAGAACTGTCTGAACTGGACTAGGAACCTGAGACGAAGCGGTGCGAAACTAGGCTCTTGAGGAACTCAACGCTTAAATTTCTGGATTTTACTATGTAAGCTCAATTTTTCTTCTTCTTCTAATCTAGTTAATTAGAATTAGATTAGTTTCGGCTTTTTCCTTTTGATGTCAGTCTTAGAAAAAAAAAAAAACACAAATCAATAAAACTACAAAAAGAAAATATATGAAATTCATGAAAACACAAATCAATAAAACCTAGAACTAAACACCATTTTTTTGCAACTAATTCAAGCAGCAACTTTGCTCGGACCGTTCATTGCAAATTAAACAGCATATTCCCATCACTTGGCAAATAGACAACATTGGGAGAGTTAGAGAGCGTAATCGCAACCTCTCTAGCCGCCTCGATCCTCCTAAGCTCAATCAACCCCATCCCAGCCTCTGCAGTCGCTTTCGATATAACCCGAGCTGCCTCGCTCTCTCCTTCTGCTCTAATCACAGCCGCTCGTCTCTCCTGATCAGCCTTTGCCACTACGAACTTGGACCGCTCAGCTTCTTGCTGCGCCACCTGCTTCCGCTCCACCGCAAGCGAGAACTCTTTACCGTAGGAGAGATCCGTGATCGACACGTCATCGAGAACTATGTTGAACTCCTTAGCTCGCTTGATCAGCGTTTCACGTATAAGAGCCGAGACCTGTGGACGTTCTGTTAAGAGCTCGTCAGCGTTGAACTGAGCCACCACCGCTTTCAACACCTCTGTCCCGATCGCTGGTAGGACCTTGTCACCGTAGTCGAGACCTAAGTTTTGGTATATGTACGCGAGGCGCGAAACCTAACACGAACCCACGGAAAACAGTAATATATTATTCTACATATTCTCCACAATCGTATTAATGGAAAATTTTTGGATATTTGAGGGAACTTACATCAGGGCGAAACATAACACGAAGTGTGAGGTTGACCATCTGAAGATCCTTAGTTCCAGAGTCGGACTTGATTTCGTAGGGCCTAGTCCGAATGTCGAAGATATAAGGCTTTTGCACCCACGGAATCTTACGATGTGTCCCTTCTCCTACTGGTTCCTCTAGAACCCCTTCGAATCGGTGGAACATAACAGCTCTCTGGCCACCATCAACGGTGTACGTTGTTGATCTCACGGCCGTTATGGCAGCTCCTAAACCTAGAGCCACCTTTGTGAACTTTGCCCAAGGCATGATTGGCTTCGAATGTCTCCTGTATGGACTTTAGGTTTTAGGGTTTCTTTTTATGTCAGATAGGTGAGAAGTAGTTAGAGAACGCAGGGGATGAGGTTTTATAGGGAATTTTCTTGCGTGAGTCGGAAGTAAAGGAGAAAGCTTATTATTGGGCGGGTTCTCTTATTTAGCGGGCCAGTTTTCTGTTAACCATAGCTGCCACGTGTTTCTTATAAGCATTAATATTAGTAGGCTTAAATATGGGCCTTTTTTATTTTACGTGGCCCGTTAATTTTAATAAGTTGTTCCAGTTCCCGCGATGTACTCGCCATCTCTATCTTGCGCGTTAAACCCTCACCCAAAATCTTCTTGGTGGGGAAGAGAAAGGACTCAAGGAGAGTATGATCTAAAGCAGGTAAGACTAAGACATTCGAGAATGCACATTATAGGATTGTGTAGATTTGTTTAGTTTGTTCTCTAATTTCCATTTTGTAAATTTACAGGTATAAGGTTGTTCGATTGTTTGGGGATTCCGTTTATGGTTCTAAAGAGGTAGTAAGATTTGTGTGCCGAAGAACGTTTGCTACTGCGGCTGGTAAAGCAAAGAAAAGGTGGGAAGGGAGGTGGAGGTTATGAAGCACCAAAAGCATTGAGTTTGAGCAAAGAGATCAAATCAAGTACGGTTGTTGGTGCTAATATTCTGAAAGGTGGATTGGACCCTAAGATCTTGCCTGATTCAGATTACTCAGATTGTTTATGGCATTTGCTTGATAAGCGACCCGCGCTAAGTGGACTTAGAAGGAAGAATGTTGAGACTCTTCCTTTTGATGATCTTAAACGTTTTGTGAAGCTGGATACCAGAGCTAGAATCAAGGAGAACAATTCTATCAAGGCCAGGAACTGAGCTGAGATTCAATAATGACTTGTTGTATGTGTCCCTTATAATACCCCTTATTTGAGCAATCTCTTCCTTGTCCTTGTTATATTTGGGAATATTTTGATTACAAGCTTTTCAGTTATAGAATGTCACCGGTAAGGTCATTACTTTTATGCTTTCATATCAGTATATTGGTTAAATTTGTCTACTTTAGGCTATTCATTGGCCAATTGGTACATTATTTAGCTTTCCACTGCCTTGTACCATGTCTCAGCTTGGATGGTATGTTTAGTCCCCAATTCTCTCCCCATTCTCTTCAATTCATGAAAGTTCACAATCCAATGATTATAACAGGCAAAGATATCAATCTCTGTGCTTTGTACTTTCTTACACTTCACCAGCTAAATTTTGATGTTGCAAGTTAATGAATACTATATGGCTTACCAGTTGCTGGTTTCTGGGGATTAGGTGTTGGTCCTGTCATGGGTCATGACATATATACACGGTATGGCAACTGTATCAGAAGGAAAAAATGTTCCAGGGGTGGCTCGTTCGACTGGTTCCATGAGCTGGTCTAGTTACATAATTGTGTTGCAACAACTTCTTGTTGAATCCAGAGTGTGCAATGCAAGGTCACAGGAGGACAATCACTGTAGAACATCTGCGAACCTTGCTTGTCATGACCACTCGAGATTTCATTTTGAACTTTGTCTTCTCCCACTTCATGTTTTCCCCGCTTAACAAACTTTTAACTCCATCTCAGGTGTCTCCTTAGTCGATGCTGTCATACACGTGAGGTAAGTTAACCTTCTCTGCCTTGATTTTGTGTCATAGCTTCTGCAAACATACAGAAAGATTCAAAGAGAGTCAATTTCTATGTTATGAAGTTACTCCACTGATTGCTTAGCTAAGCTTCAGAAACAGATAAAAATGATAAAACGAAAGCTGCGAGTGAGAATCAAACCTGTGAAGCAAGTTTTGGCTATTGCTTTCTAGCTTTCCGCTACTTCACTTTCCCCGCTCAAAGGTTTCATAAAACATCCTCATAGCACAAGGAAATCGCAAGTGGCTTATTATTGTGGCTTACATGCTAGTAGTTAGACTGTCAATCATTGATTTATTTCTGGTTATAATGATCTATTGTATTAAACACAAATCCACATATACTCCTTCTACTGTGGCCTATCTATGACTATGCAATGCCAGAGTTTAACATGACTGACTGAATCTGTAATGATAAGGGCATGAAATTTCAATCCTACAAAAGTCTAAGCTTTGTTGTACGCTGTTCATTTGTGGGTAAGTCGAGCAAGAGTTTTGTTTCTCATCTTCCAACAGAAAAAGTAGCAGCTATGACTTGTCAAGTCTAAGTCAATCAGAGTTGTTTACAGAAAATGCTATGGGCAACTTACATTAGCTCCAACACTTGGTTCTAGTACCCTCCATTTTGTAGAATTCTAAATTCTCACGAATATCAAGAATCAAGAGATGAGGAAGCAAGTGTAGCAGAAAGACAAGACATATGTATGTCACAAACTGTAAATCAATGGGTAGCAACTCTTAAGAGAAGAACTTTCTGAGCAATACAGAGATGAATTAAAAAGTGCATTTTGCACATACTACTGCTTATCGAAAAGCAAATCTATTATTCCAAAACATACATAATTTAGAGAATTCTAAAAGGTGAGAATAATAATGGTATATATATATATATATATAATATATAGTACAATGGAAAGGAAGCTCAAACAATGATTGTTGAGAAGAAAGTATTATCTAATTTTCTTAGCCTTCCTTTGTCTAAACAATTCTATCCAGAGATTCCAAATCCAAAGTATACTAACAGTAATAGCAGTTCCAACAACAATAGCCCAAGAAATCCACAACCAATTAGGAATCACACCATGAGCACCGCCTCGAGCGTAAAACGCAACCATTTTCCCGAAAAACAAAGGTCCCAACACTCCCCTAACGATACTGTAGAAGGCGTAAAACGGAGGGGACAAGAGATCGTACACTTTTACGGCTAATCGTGATTCCGGATCATTCTTCCTTGCTCCGGCGAGCGTCCACGCGTTCTGACACGCGCTTGTGACTTCGGCTAGAATCAGGAGGCCTAAGATGGCGCAAGCGCCGTGGAAGACGAGGAACCGGCAGGTTAGGAAGACGAATAGAGTGGCTAGGTGATGGCCGATGAAGAGGACGTCGTTAGGGTTGAAGACGATGTAGTGGAAGAGATCGGTGAGGAAGTAAGCGACGCTGAAATCGAGGACGGTGTTTTGAGCGGCTGTGTTTGCGGAGGCGAAGGAGCGTGCGGAGGAGGAGAAGACGGCGCGTGTGGCGAGGAAAACCGCCGGAGTGCCGTGGAAGATTGAGATCAGGCAGCTTGAAGCTTCGGGACGGATTTGTGGTTTCCAATTGCGGAAGACGATGAAGTAAGCGATTAGGTAGATGGTTAAGAACATGGAGAAGAAGAGAGGGAGGTCTGGAATGGAGAACTCTCCGATATTGATCGACATTGAGATCGGATTCTCAACCCTAACGACAATGGAAGAAGAAGAAGAATCTACACGGAAGAAACAATCCCTTTTTATGTCGTCTCGACTCTTTGAGTTAGCTAAAACGATAGACTGATAGACACATGTATCAAAATATCCATTTAATCATTATTATATTGACCAAAAAAGGAGTTTTATAACATCATTTCCTTTTTATTTTTTTTTTACTTAATAACTCTCAGAACAACACATTCATAGAATTACATTATTTTAATTTTATTGCCAGTAATGAGATTTTATTATTCTAATTGGATCCACGTTATTAGACAAACAAAACTAACTAGTAGTAGACAAAAACATTAACCTGAAAAAAAAGGGACAAATTTTGCAGCCATTCATTCATTTGAAACTGCGGTGTGATGTAAAAATCAAAGTGAAATGGCACAAACACTTACCCAAGTAGATCACCACAAGTTGTAGTAAAGCTAAAGACATCCATAGGTAATGGCTTATGACTACTAAGTGGTAAGACTAACTATATTTTCCAAGCCAATTCCCAAAGGACAATCACCAAATGCTGCAATGGGTTTCTTCATTTCATTTATCATCATCATTTGCTGCCTCTGCAAGCTTGGCGGAAAATCGAAGCTTCTTGATATTCAATTTTAATTCCTCAACACATAGTGCTTTCCATTCGTTGCTCAACTCTCTTTTTTTACCAGTTCCAAGGTTCATCAGCTTCTCAAGCTGCAACTTCTTTTGATAATCACTTAAACCTTGCGACACCATGGTGGTCTCAAATGCATCCCGCACAGCGCACAACACATCATCACCCTCTTTTCCAGCAGTCCCGTTCTTGGTAGTTATTTTGTCAACAACAACGGCTTTAAGAGGTGGTGATTTGCCATCAAAGTCACTTTTCCCAGCCCCATTGTCGATTAAGGCCACTTCCTCGTCCTTCTTAAACATCTCCTCCTGATTCAACAAACCATATTATCCAAATCATTCTGAAACCACAATTCATTAAGCAAGTAGAGATTTGACCATTGTGTGCTTCATGCTTAGAGAAAGATAAACTGTGAGTCACTTACGTCACTCTTGTTTTGATATGTTTTATCCGTAGCACCATTAGTGTATTCAGCATCATTTTTGCCCCAAATCATCATGGAAAATCCAAAGGCTTCAGAGTCAATAGACCTAGTAAAATGCGGATCAATTCCTCGATTGATTTTCTCCATATGATTAAGGAACTTCTTCTTCAACTTCTTGGTCTTATTCAACACCTGATCCTTAGAGACTTGCACATGAATGGAACCTCTGACGAAACAATAAAACGCTTCCCAATCAATTTTGGATTCGAGCCCTGTCTTAGCTCGAAAATCCAATAATCCCTGAGAATTATAGAGTGCCGTTTAAGGAATCGCAATCAAGTAAATGCAGAATATAGATGAGACAAAGTAGGAAATACCTTTAAGATAGAGAGCTCATCTTCTTCGTTCCAGATCCGGTTACTCATCGGAGAAGCCAATTTGTTCTTCTTCTTTGTCTCTTCTGCTGTTACTGTTTCGGAAGCAGTGCGTTTTGAAGTACGCTTCCGTGGAGTGTTATCGTCACCAGCACCACCAGGTGAAGAGAAATCTAGCTCCGTTGGAGTCGCCATTGTGAATTGCTTACTTATATACCTCACAATTCTAGACTGATTAGCTGGCATGCAGAGAGAGCCCTAATCAGTAACACTAAATCGACTAGCGATCCCAAATTTTCATGAACATCAAACTTACGCCAGTAAAATCAGACTCTTGAGAGTACAAGAAACATGGTTTCCAAATTACAGAATCGAGCGATTTGCTTGCCCAGTGGGGTGAAGAAGAAGAAGAGATTCCGACTTTTGTTTTTATTTGCAACAGAAAATATAAAATACCCATTTCCATCTAAAACGGCCTCGTATTAGGTGTAAGGCTCTTTTCTTATTGATTTGTTGCATAATGAAGTCTTTACTGTTACACCCGAATCGTCAGTTTCATAATAGACTGAAGAGAGTACTCACACCAACATCACACAACACAACGCAAAGAACAAAAAAACTCTTTCACAAGAACCCATTTCTCACGATCATTCCAAGCAAAACTTAACTCATGAATGATTATGTCTACACACTCAGTACCAATCCAATCCTCCTCAGTCACACTTCACTGAACGGCCCTCTCTACTTGGCTACTGTATCGGACACAGTAGAAGCTTTTTTTAGGGATTCTGGATTCTTGATTCGGGATTTAGAATTCAGATAATTCTATTGTTTGACTTTGTTGATCTGCACACAAGCTCAATCAATCTCTCCCTCTTCTATATCAATTCCAGGGGCTGGCGAAGTGAGCGGATCAGCCTCCTCATCATCCTCATCCTGTTTCATAAATAGCCCAAGCTGCTCCAAAGGATTACTACCCCCAAAACTGAAACTACGCAACCCATCATGCGACACATCAGGCCCATCCTCCTCTATTGCATCTGTCAAATGGTCTGTGTCGACTGTTTTGAGCAGTTCTAGATCCTTGAGAAACTTTGCGTTCTCGTTGAGTTCAACCGACTGTTCCATCTGCACCAATTACCATGAAAACTTACGTTTCAGTGAAACAACGGGACTAAATATTTCATTTTTCTTAACTACCTATTCTGATTCTTAATCATAGAGTTCATCCATTATAATATAGTAATGACTATTTCATTCAGCTGCTATGAAATAAAATGATTCAGGAAATATCTTTCAACGCTGCAATGAACATCTTTACCTCCATCAATGCCTGGCGCGCTGCTTCTCTTTCAAGCTCCAGCTTTCTCTTAGCCTCAGCCGCAGCTTCAGCTGCAGCTTGTGCCTCAGCTTTTCTACGAGCTTCTTCAGCTGCCTTGGCTTCTGCTTGTAATCGCGCTTTCTCTGTAAAGAAAGGGCACATATTATTGATTTAGGTTGCAGTATGCTTTTATCACTTAGAAGTGGTAAATGTCACCAATTACAGTTGAACTAGCAAATCAAGGAAGCAAACCTTTCTTCTTTTGAAGCTCGAGTTCTTCTCTCTCACGCTGGAGCTTCTCTGGGTCTCGCAGGTCATTCTGATCTCAGGAACACATACAATTTAAGAAAAATTAATTCAAAGGTCGAAAAGGACCCAGAACAGTGGGTTGGAGCGCACAACAAACCTGGTTAAGAGGTTTCTCTCGGGCTTTCAAAATTATGTCTGCAAATCGATTCTTCAAAAAAGCAGCCCTGTAGATCTTTTCAGGAGGTAGTTGCTTCTCAGTCTGAGCACTATTTCCTAGTGTATTAAAGGGTCAAGGTCAAGAGTGAGATGCCACCTCAGACAGAAGAGCAGAAACATTTTTCTGCCATACTCCTTTTCTTACCATCTTGCTGACAATCCGCCTCAACAGAACTTATTTTCTCCGGAGATGCACTTTCCAGCTGATCCAATACACCAACAGATGCTACTTGTAGAAAGTAACAAAACATAAGTTCCACACCAATAAACTAAACTTTTGACCACTAACAAAAAACATCCACTCACATCCTCTTGTTGGGGAAGCGCTTGTAGCTCCATCCAACATAGGTTCAAGATCCATGGTTCCAAGCCCCTGTATCAGCGCAGGACAGGAGCACGAAGAAACAATCAGGTTATCCTAACAAATCTGGGAATCATCAAGTAAGTTGATTTCTATGTATATCATGATTCAAACAGACTATGACATCCATTTCATATTGTTATGGTTCCACAACAGTAAAAAAATTGTGGTCCAAGAGTATATCCTCCATATCAAATTATATCAACTTTGTGACAAGGTAACAAAGACAACCACATCGACATATGCATTGTATCGCATCAAATCTCAGTTATTCATGTTTGCATGTTATTCCAGACAACTATATACCTTTGATGTCCTCGGTAAACCTGACACACTTTCCAAGCTATTACCTAGATTAAAACATCAAAAGAGGAGCAATCAGTAGTTAGTATGATCCAGGGGATAGTCTAATCACCATAAAATCAATAAAGTAAAAAAAAACAAAAGCCAACTTATTTTTAGTTAGTAAACAAGTGAATATGAAAGGCCTCCTACTTTCAAACTATTACACTAATATCAGTTGCTTTCATTTCACAGCAATAACCATAAGTCTCCAAGTAAAAAATGCAGAAGATAAAATAAGTGCGCTAGCAATGTTCACTGCATATCAACAACAATATGGCTTCAAGAGGCCACTTCTGACAAAATTTGAGGTCCCGAGGATATGAAATGAAAAATGTAACAACCATACCCGAACAAAAGTTCTATGGAGAACAAGAATGACAATATAAACAAGTAAAAGAAAAGATACCATTAGAGTTTCCTAACACCAGGTCCTTCTCTATCGTGACAGGAGAAATGCTTGATTTTGGGTGTTCATTTTTACCAATGTCAATAACCTCATCATCTAATTCACTCCCTAAAACGAATACAGTAAAAATTGTCAATCCGATTAAAGAGCTAAGCAGAAAATGTTATCAAACAACAAGCAGGCTGTGAACTAACCATCACAATGTTGCATTAATGAATTCCCTGGCACTGATCCATGCAGAAGCTGCAATAAATTAAAAAAATTCCCTATAAGCAGTGATGATGCAATTAAATGATTCAAACATGAGATATAGAAGAAGATATACCTCTATCTCACAGGGTTCAACACTTGATTTTTTGTTTTGGCTCTCACGCAAATGCTCGTCTAAGAGATCCCGCAACTGAAACAAGGCATGGTGACTGAGATCATTAATGTCAATCTCAATCTCATCATCACCAATCCCCCCTTCATTTGAGTTGTGGTCTCTCAAGAAATTTATTAATTGTGCCGGGAACTCAGTCAAGGACTCCAAATCCTTGCCGAGCTTGAGTCTATCCTCATCAGTCATAACCCGTTTGACAGGCTCTGAGACGTTCTCACAGTCTACTGCACTTGTCTTCCTCTTCTTAGCCATAGGCACAGGTATTACGATATGTTTTTCCTCGTGGGCATCTGAGTTACTCGGTTCGGTATGAACTTTAATTCCAGATAATTTCTTCTCGAGGGTCTTCCACCTCACTTCAAAAAACTTGCGAAGTGTATCTGCCATGACGAAAACATCATTACCAGGTGGATTGTAGGTCATTGCATTGCTGAAGGTAAGCCGCACATCAGCAGCAAACTCTGACGGACAGGAATATGTACCCGAAGTTAACTTATTCTTCACAGTTCCTAAATCCATTGGATGCTTAATAACATTAAAATAGTCAAGTATATTCAGCTTGACAACATCCACTGGAGTATTGAACACCCAACCATACTGATGTGACATCAATCGTTTTAAGAGCGCCTCACATTGCTTCATCAGAAGCATAACCGCAGTAGTGACAGGAGTCGGTTTAGCAGCAGCACTTAGAGGATTCACAGTCTTCCCTGGACCCGTGGAGCATCGCGACTTCCCAAAACTCTTGGCTCGAGTCAAACCACTTGCAGAAGAACTAGTGAGAGTCACTGATCTAGATATCTCGAAACTCTTTTGGAAAAACCTTATCTGTTCCAGCTCTTGTCTTAGCCTAAGAATCAACTCCTTCCTATCAGATGATGAAAGGCCAGACAAAGGTAATACCATTTTCGAGACACCAAAGGTATCACGGTCGTTATAGCCGAGCTTTCTTTTGGAACAATTAGAACCCTCAGAGGCACTAGGGCTATCAGATCCTTCATCGTAATCTCCACCGGGTGTCTCAAAACAATAATCTCCAGGGAAACCACCGTTTCTCACAGTCATATCGACGAAATTCTTAAATAGATTCCCTTATTCTAGCGTAGAGCTCCGGATCAGTCTAATCCTGTAGGAAACAAACCATCTTAGTATGACGGATTTACTTACAACTCTAAAACAGAAATCTCGATCCGATAGTAAATGGATGATTCAAAACCCTAAATTGAGCGATTCAAATCTTCGGATCGTCCGAGGGAAGTAAACACCAAAATCGCAAAAAGGAAGGAACTCACCGACTGAACTTGAGAGCAATTGATAAAATCGATGATCCAACTGAAGCAGAAAGGACAGAGAACCTAAGAAGAAGCGGAGGAGCAAAAACCCTACAAGTTTGATGTGGAAATAGATAAAAAGGCAGATGACGAAGACGACCGAGAAGTAGAGAGAGAAATATCTGTTTGTTTATATCTCTCTCGTCTCGTCTCTTCACTGTCTGGATTCCACACTTAACGGTGAAGCGGTTAACGAGATTCGGTACGAGAACACACAGGAACAATATATCAATATACACCGTCGGATTTTAATCGAACGCATTACGGTACTTCCAGCTTCCAATAGATATTTTTTAGATGCCAAGATTTTTGATGAGTCAACGCAATCTAAGAACCGCTTGCCGTTTTTGAAGCTTAAAAACTGTGAACCTCTCAAGATAAAATGCTCAATTTCATTTTTCATTTTTTTTGGAAATAACAACAAGGTTCAATCATGTCTGTAATTTACACTTTGGACAATGTGACTTAAGCTTCATTGTTGTAAGAAAAGACAATCATAGGCTGAAACATTTGCGTGTCATGCGACAGATAACGCTCCTAGTGCCCTTATCTACCTGCAATTGCAATTTGCAATGCATTAAAACTTTGAAATCAACTTCTGAATTCAGAAACCACAATAAAACCATCTATAAGGAGATAGATTTCGGCTTTGAAGCTAACAAGAAATCTTACAAAATCAAAATTAATTGGGAAACTTCCTAGTGTCATGTTTTTGGGCCGCAAAGGATCAGATCTAGACTTGTACACACAAAACTGACCATAGTTAAGCGACCGATTGTAATGATCAAGGACACAACCAAATATTACTCCTGCCATGTCCTACAAATTGCAGCTACAACACGAACCTGAACCAACATAGTTTTAGAAGGTCAGAATATATTAGTTATTATTTGCAAGATAGTGGGTTGGAAATGAAATGAGTGCCTTTTTATTTCAAGGAAGGAGCATATGGTGCTGGGCATGGAGAGATGGCTGTATCTGGTAACTGATTTAACAAATCGACTGTCGTCGTAAGGCATGCAGCTAGTATTTTCTTCTCCAATTGGACAAGCCGGGTTGCCACTCGCTTCCTAGGACTCAAACTAGGATCTGCCAACTATTGATTGGGAATTCTATAAATATCATGCAGGAAAACCCAAAAAATGTGTTCGATTTGTAGCAGTCACAAAGTCTAACGACATACCAATGCATCATCTTCTTTCGGAGTAGTAGGGTAGCCAGATAACCGTCTCATGAAGTAATTAGCAAGCTGATCTAGTACTGCTCTTTCCATACAGGGGCTCATCTACAAAAGAGCCAGAGAGTTAAACCTTTACAAGTGAGTAAACAACTTTATATGTAGAAGTAACATTGGAGGCCTCACATGTAGGGGCCGAGCATTTGATGCAATCAAGGGAATATCAAAAGATTACTTAGACAAAAGGTTTGTCAAGTCACTCATCCTCTACTTACCATACAAACTGGACCTTGGGACGAAATTACTGATTGCATTTCAGAAGGATCAGACATGTAACCCAACCGCAGGTAGGGAAGCATGTCTTGGACAGCTTCTCTTTCTTTTCCCACACGAACCTGAGGTGGATGCAAATCCAAAATCAGACAAACATCTCAAAGTAGACTTGTTGACATGGGAAAGTCACACGTTCATACCTGAAAAACTTGTTGGGATAATTTTCCGTTCCTTTGAGCAACCATTCTCTTGTCCTGATATTGAGGATCCTCAGTGTTCAATGCTGCCTGGAATGCATATGACGCATAAAACATGCAAATAGTGAGAAAATCACATCAACATTACACTAGTGTTTACAGTAATGCAACAAAGTTTCATAATTACCTCAACTATTATTCTATCATAAGGGTTATCTTCATCAACGAATCCATAGTTCAGAAGCAATTTCGCATTAGGTTGTGGCCCACACCTTCAAATGAGGAAATGCAAAGTATGAAAGATGGATCAGAATGAAAAAGCTAGCTGTCGGAAGCAATTTGGCTCACAGACGCACCAGACAACTATAGGATCCCCAGCCTTATATGGCCTATCTACCACGAGTTCAACAGCACCATCAACAGCAGTAAGCATTGCCTTGCAGTTGGAACAATAGGCCAACAACGGAGGACCAAGAGGAACCAAAGCAAACCGACGAGCCAAACCGACATTCTGAGTACAGGAAGAAGCATAAAAATCTAAATTAGAAGAAGCAACAAGCACAGCCTGACTAGTTGCTTATATGATGAGCTGCAAGCTAAACTTAAGATTCAGCTATAGAGTAATAGAGGTAAGACCATATTATTAAATTTAACTCTAGATATTCTTTCAAACACGGCAAGACATACAAGTTGTGAAGAGGGAATCCAAAAATAATGAAAATTACTTGTAAATGCACCACACAGGACTGAATGGCAACAAATGCCTGTTTGAAAATCTCAAATGAAAAAGCTTCAGTTGGTATGTCAAATGGGTATTGCTGCAAAACACAAATCACATGAGGTAAATCCACTGCCGCTGTTTAGAATTCCATATATCAATATGAAAAAAAAAAGCCGAAGTCTTAGGTAGCAAATATAGTGGTCAAACACCTGAAACAGAGATCCAGCCATAAACCAGACAGTGTCAAGCTCATTGTATTCTCTTTTGATCCCTTCAGCCCTCTCAAGAACTTCGGCCTGAACCATGTTAAAGGAGATCAATACTTAAAGAACCCAGCAGACTAGTTCATCACATGTGATGCATATACTAACGCAATACCTTGGTCGGACTACCAGTTAGGTAATCTAACTCAGCCTCTGACCACAGCAACGGGGATTCTGCGTCTAACTGACCTCTTCCCCTTTGACGATCAAGTTCTCTTATATAGGGATACCAAACTGATTTCTTCCCTTGTTTCTTCTCATACATCAAATACAAAGCTAAGCAAGCCAATTCAGACAATTTGTTCGTCGTCAACAGTTCAGCTGCATGAAAAATGGGGAGGTTATGGCTTCAGATAAGCATCAAAAATCCAATATCTCCACCCTCAAACTGCAACCATCTAAGAGAAATTTCAAAGTCTAATCCAAATACGATTGCGCATGATCAAAATAGTAGCTTTTTGGAATGGGAAACGTAATAGAGAATGTCTCATACCAATAGTCTCGTTTCCCAAAACTCTTTCTAGAGTGACCACCAGAGAATCAGGAACTGAAAACGCCACATCACCCTTCTGTAAAAAACAGGTTATTAGGACAGATTCACCATCAAATTCCTGGTAATTGAGAGTTTGAAAACCCAATAGAACTGTTTAAAAGCATATAAAACTGTTGAAATGCTAAGTCAACCACCTGAAGATCCTCACTAGCAGCAACATAATGTATGGGTTTATACTTCAGATCATGAGCTGGTCTCTCCTTGAGCAAAACCTTGCAAGGTGGCAACCCATTCTTATCCATCCAAAACTTCAAATCCTCGGAGTCATCTCCTTCCTTCTTGCTCGATACTTTGCTCTGCCTCTCGTCTTCCTTTGGTGAACCGCCCGCGACTAAAGTATCTGAGCTCGAAGCCGAAACGCACAAGCTTCTTAGAGGAACTGATCGCGATGAAGAGATCAATTTAGTGTTCCTCCACCGAGGGAGTGAAGAAACCCTAGAAAGTGGGAAAGAACGAATTGGAAGAGAGACGCATTTGGTATGGAAACATGTGATAACCCCTTCCATCGGAATTATCAATTCAAGATATTATGCCGAAACGTAAAGATTCTCCGGCGGCGATTCTGAGGATTTTGCTCTGTTCCTCTTTTGCGTTTTCTCAGATTATTTTTTTCATTGAGGATAAGAGAGGGAAATGAAGAAATCAGGTTGAAAACGAAATGGAGAAGATGCGACATAAAAAATGTGTAAACAAATAAAAAATATACGTGGCGCTTAGCGAGAAGGGGCCTGAAAGTAGCCCACCACAACGAAGAAGCCTATCAGATTACCCAAAACGACACGCAGTTTAAAGCATGTTTCATACGACGACGTTTTGTTTACTCTACCACAAAGGATAAAAGGCTCGCGTACATTATTAGCACGAGAAATACACAGTCAACTGGTCAACTGGTCAAGGGGAAATTTTAAAGTAAAGTAAAAATAAAAGATTTGCGGGAATGGTCTTCTCCTCTACTTGTTGGCCATTGTGACAAAAATATGAAACTTTTTAAACCAACAAAAATGAACAAAGAAATCAAAAGTAACATTCTCAAGATTCACAACTAAGGTTGTCTTTGAGCCAAGTTTTGTTGGTGCTCTTGGTCTTTTGCTCATTACATGGAGAACTTCTGGGGGACAGTATCAAAATCGTCTCCAAAGTCATACCTTTGTCTTTCCCTTCCAACCTGACAAAAATGTGTAGTCAAACGGCTTAGCCTGAGAAACATGGGTTCGAGGACAGAACAGTAGTCTAATGGAACATGGCATTAAGTTACCTTTCCCAAGTATAAAGGGTCACAGGATAAGCTCTCATCCATGGCTAAGAGATTCTTCGACAGCCCAATAGTCCTGAAAGTCATATCAAAACACAAAGCTTGTTTAATGCTACTACTTTACTTTGGCAAAACAGTCATCTCCATATCAACTTGATTCCAAGAAATAAAGAAAGGAGAATCAAATTTTCTCTTTTTCGTTTTCCCCAGAGAAAGCATGGTGGCTTAGGAGTTTCAACTTTCAAGCAATGAATCCCCCCCAAAAAAAAAGTATCACAACGACACTTGGTTCTGTAGACATACCTTTGTATAACAGAATCCATGACCTCGATCATCGCACTAGATTTGTACTGCTCAGGGTCCTCCAAGAATCTGACCATTCCGTCTTTCTGGTTGATAAGGGCATGTATCTGACCATCCTGGATCTGCAGGATTGTAAAGAAAAACATGATATTGTCCAACATACCAGTTAAAGTAATAAGCTAGCTTCCAAAAATCAAGTGTGGGACACGATACCATCTGAAGCACATGCATTTCCGCCTCCTTAGCATTACCAAGTTGGACCATGTTGGCTATATCTTGAAGCGACAAGGTCAAGTACTTCTGTGTCAATCTCAGAATGTTACGCTTGTAAAGAGATGACACTGCTTGCTTAACTAATCCAAGGTTCTTATCCTGAAATAGCATTTCGTCCAAGTTATAGAAGGGAATGGATATTATTAATATCAGTACAGAAACTATGGTGAATGTTTAGTGGAAATTTACATTTTCAAATTCTGTGCTCTTGGCCACAACCAATGCCTCAAGTTCACCAATCTTCCCGTCGTTGTAACAATTACCCAGTTCAATGTAAGGCTGAGAAAAGGGTGAACGATAAAATCATAAGCCTGTAAATAGATCTAGCTGGTATGGAGTACGAAACAACTGAAATCTTTGGACTGAAGTGAAAAAAAGGTCCAGCCTCCATTCAAACATGAAAAATACAACTAATGATACGGTTCAAACTTACTCCGGAAAAGGTCTTGAAGTTCCTCTGCGCTGCTGTAGAAGCACACTTGGGGAGACTGTTAGTAAACTGCACAAGTAAAAATTATACAAGATTATAAGAATAACATCATAAGATTAACCAATGCTTGAATTTAAAATCAGACACATGATGTAAATATGAAACCAACATTACTCAAAACATCCAGTGGATTCAGACTTGTGCAATATAATCGCTCCCACGACAGAAAACTAAATGTACTAAGAAAGTAAAAAAAATAAAGAACACAGCCTTACCTGCCCATTGTGAATGAGAGACACCAATATGTACTTTTTGTACGCCTCAAGGGCTATGGCATTGACTTGATGCATAGGAGCAGTCACAACCTGATACAAGTACTTAGATTAAGTTAAAACTAAAACAAAAGTCTTTGATGGATAAAAAGCATGTAAGAGAGAAAATCAAATGCCTTACATTGTAAAGAAGCTCTAATGCTTTCTGAAATCTCTTCAGTCCAATACATATCATTCCCCTGTCAAAAATCCAGGGATCAAGGACGAGAATAAGAAAATACTATAAAACAAACTCAACAGGATGGATTTAATGTATTAATACAACCATTGATCTAAGGAAAAAACACAGATATCAATGAGGAAAACTTGCTTACCCATAATAGCAATAGAGAAATAAGTCTCTTGGCTGGTCAACCTCCACGATATCATCACTAAGAATGGAGAAACCAGATTTGTACGATTTCGCCTGCAAACAGAGTTGAAGAAGATCTGGATGCAATGCAGTCAAACGTTTGGTGGAGACCTGAAGCTTCTGAACAGCGGTCAACAGAGGCCCTACCCCTCGCAAGGGATCTCTCAGTTCTAAAACATGATCTTTCAATCTCTTACAAAGAGATACAACTGCAAGATCAAAATAATAACATCATCCATCTCCCCAAAGAAAAAAAAAAACACTGAAAGACGAGATAATATCCAATTAAGTGTCAGTAATTACATTTATCGCTCGCCAAACGAATCTGCCCAGCATCACAAGAGTTGATGAACCGTGAAATTATCGGAATCTCATAAGAAGCTTTCTCCTTGGACACTGGACCACAAGTAAGAACCTCACTGTAACAATCAAACCATACAAAAAAAGTTCAAAGATCAGAAATCGAATAACATACACAATTCTCCTTGTAAAAACCTTCAAGCTAATCACAAACATCAAGTTCCAGTAACCAAAATCATCAATCAGCCTCAACGTATACACAAACTAGCAACAAAAACCCAATCTAGTAAGAGACATGAAAAATCCAAACATCTACGAATAGGTTAAACTCACAGGAAATACAGGTAACCGAGAGAGTGCTTCGAGGCGTCGAGCTGGTCAAGAGTAGAGAAATTAACATCTGGTTCGGCTCGGAGCGAGTCTTGAGCTCCTCTCAAAAGATCGTGTAGTGCGGATAAATCCTCTGAACTCGCCGATAAGCCTTGGATTGACGTTATCACAGCCTCCACCGAGTTCATAACTCCGATCATCTTCAATATGCAGACGAAAACAAAAAACCCTAATCGATCGCCTTTTTCTCCCTCTCAAAATCTTTTGCCAAACTGTTTGTTTAATTATGGAAAAACGGTCTATTTCCTCCCGAGAACTATCGTATCTGGCCAGATAAAGCCCGATCTTTGACCTCTGTCTATATACCCATAAAACGGAAGTTAAATGTTTATTTCCCCACCAATTGAAAGTTCGAGAGCTTAATGTCCATGAATCTTAAGTTCGATATTTAAAACCCCATAACGCTGGGTTTAATTGGTTTATTGTATACCAAACCGATGCTTTAACCAATTAAACCTAATTAGAACCAGCCTAAACCCAAATTACAACCCGTTTATGACTCATTACCCAAAAAAACAAATCGAAACCAAAAATTGAAACCAAAAATCGAAAATCCCCAAATTGCTCTCGACGAACCCTAGAATCCCCAAATCACTTTTCCCCAAATTTGATCGATGTCGTTAGTCCTTCACGACCCTGATCTTGTTGGTGATGTCGATCCCGAAGCTGAAGATAGAGATCAGTTTTAATGATAATTGATTCAAGAATAATGAAACTGAGGGTTGTCTTCATAAAACTGTTGCAGCACACTCTGATTAATGTTGTGACGATCCTGGTGGGCAACAAGTCGGATCTGAAGGACTTGAGAGAAGTGTCAACAGCGGAAGGGAAGTCATTGGCTGAAGCACAAGGTCTTTTCTTCATGGAGACATCGACTTTGGACTCATCAAACGTGGCAGCTGCGTTTGAGACGGTTGTGAAGGAGATATACAACATACTGAGTGTTGATTGATTTAAAATTGAATCGTGGGTTTATGGTTTAGCAATCGTGGGTAGTTAATTAGCTTGTTTTTGTTTAATTTCGGATTTTCTTATCATGGGTTATGCGTAATTATCTTCTTCTCTATTTAAGCTTTGCACTTTGTACTTTGTACTTTCAGACTTAGTACTTCTCAATTCAATCGAGAAAATTTCAGTTTCAATTCTTCTTCTTTCCAGCAATTTTCTGATTTCTCCAACAATGGTGGTATCAGAGCGATTCCAGGTTTCAATTCTCTTAAGAAGACGAAGTGATGGCAAACAATGGCAACGGCACGAATCTGCAAGCTCTTATTCCAACGTTCAAAGGGGAGAAGTACCATCTGTGGAGTCTCAAGATGAAGACAATGTTTCGGTCGCAGGAGTTATGGGATTTGGTCGAGAATGAGTTTGAAGATCAGAATCCACCAGAGCCTGATCAACGTTTACGGGAGAATCGGAAGAAAGACGCAAAGGCACTGTTCTTTATCCAATCGGCAATGGGTCGGATTTAAAAAAGGAATCGTTTTTTTTTGGTTAAGTTACGACCGAAACATGGTTCTGTCTCGGGTTTATGCACTAAACCAACGAAACCAGGATTCATGGACATTAAGCTCTCGAACTTTTAATTGGTGGGGAAATAAACATTTAACTTTCGTTTTATGGGTATATAGACAGAGGTCAAAGATCGGGATTTATCTAGCCAGATACGATAGTTCTCGGGGGGAAATAGACCGTTTTTCCTTTAATTATCTCTGGATCTTCTCCATAAAATACATGCCCTCATAATATATATATACGGACCCTCCGAACGGTTCAGAGGTTCTACTAGAATTATAAACCAATTGCCAACCGTCTTTTAAACCAGATGATCTCGGTTCGGTAGGAATCAAATCAAATAAGCAATTATTCGGTTTAGTCCGACCAATTTCGGGGATGGCCTTTTTATCAATCGTCTTCCAGAAAAGGAACGAGATTGCGATCACAGAGTGTCAAAGCAATCTCCTTTTTTCTCATCTCAGATTCGAAGGTTCTCTGTAACGGAGAAGATTTGAAGCTTCGTAGGTGGTTAAACTTTTCGATGGCAGATTATCATTTTGTGTACAAGGACGTTGAAGGAGCGTCGACTCAATGGGACGATATCCAGCGGAAATTGGGGAATCTACCGGAGAAGGCTCCGGCTTTCAAACCGCCAGCTTATACTCCGGCGGAAGACGAGTCTTCAGCTCCTAAGGATCAGGCATGGTTTGATAAGAAGACAGAGGAAGAGCTTGAGGATCTTGAGGACGACAAAGATCTCGACGATGATCGCTTTCTCGAAGAATACAGGTTCATAGATCGAATTGAACATTCTGATTTTTGTATTTTCAATCTTAATTTTGTTCTGGAGAATCCTTGCTGTGGTGAAATTCTGGTTTGTGAATTCGATTTTCTCGGATCCGTTGTCATGTAACTAGGGAATGCAATTATCAAGCTCTGGTTTTTCTCGATTCGTTTGTGTTTTGGATATGAATGCAATTGAGGGTAGTATCTTATTTTCAGATGTTGATAAATAGACTAAACTTATGGTGCAACGTATTTCACGCTTCACAGGCACTAATGTGTTTCGATGCTTTGATAGGAAGAAGAGGTTGTCTGAGCTAAGAGAAGCTGCTAAAGTTAAAAGATATGGTACAGTGACTCCAATCTCGGGATCTGATTTCGTGCGGGAGGTTACGCAAGCTTCTGCTGAAGACTGGGTTGTTGTATGCCTCTACAAAGATGGGTATGTTTTGAATAATTCGTGTGAATTCTGGTTCCTCTTGAAGAACAATTCTTTATTACATGCTTGAAACAAAATTAACTCATGTTTGTTTCTTGTTGTTGTTCTCTGATAGTTTTGCAGAGTGTGGTTTGCTATTGGGTTGTCTAGACGAATTGGGTAGTAGATATCCAGCAACAAAGTTCGTTAAGATAATATCTACTGATTGTATCCCGAACTACCCTGATTGCAATCTTCCTACCTTGCTGGTGTACCACCATGGCGCCATTAAAGGAACTCATGTAGGCTTGAAGAGCTTTGGCCGTAGGTGCACCCCAGAGAGTAAGTTTGAAGCCTTCTTTGTCTGATATAATCTGTGCCTATTTTTGTTTGGTGATTATGTCATGTCTCATCTCTAGCCTTCGTCTGATCTGAGACCTGATGTGACCACATTTGCTATTGTATCATGCTTTGAGCAGAATGGTCGTAGGCTCATGTCTGAACATTCTTTGCAACTTATTTGGTTTTTCAGGTGTAGCCTTACTTCTGTGTCAATCAGAGCCAGTTCTTAACGATGGCAAAGGAGGAGACGATGACTCCTCGAGGGAAGCTGTGATGGCTGGAGTTCGAAGACAGTTCATAGAACGAGTGGTGAAGGACCATGAAGATAAGGATAACGATGATGGTGGTTACAGTAGCGATTAGAACTTCAAAGCTTCTCTGTTTATCACTGTTGGTTATTGCTTGTTGAGTTGGTGACTGCTAAACAAAAATGCTGACTTCATGTGTGATGTAATGTTTTTTTAACATTTTGTAACTTATGCTCGTTTTAAAAGAGACAGGAACTTCATTTTGTTTTTTGATATCCAGGTATCACATGCCGAATTTTAGTGCTGGATCTAAGACTCTGAATCCATGTAAGTTTAAAATAGGCTCTGTTTTGGACAAAGTAATAATCAATTTGGAGAATCTCAAATCAACTGAGATGTTTTAGTTTTTCATTCATATGCAACTCGAACTGCTTCACAGTTCACAAAATATACTGCAGATATCAAACCTAGAATTTGAAACCAATCTTCTTAAGCCAACCCAACAACTATAAACACCCCCAACACAACAGAAGAACACTACCTTCAAAATGAAGCTCCCTTACTCAAAACTTCTTTATATACATACAAAAACAACACTCTAATCCTGAGTCTGAGTTCTCCCACAAATAGTCTCTCTGGTCACAAGTCTTATTCCCCTCACCCACATCTCTGCACACACCAGCCCACCTTCGCACACAAAATGAACCTCCTTGTTTTCCGTAGTCACTACCCGGAAAATCCCTTCTTCCTCTTCCGCTCCAACGCCTTTCCCCTTACGGTTCTTCCTGAACCGCTGGCTCATCCCGATCTCTACTTCCTTGCACACCACATTCCTCTTCCGCGACTTGCCCCAACTTAGTACTCCACTTGACTCCAACATTCTCAATCCCTTCCCATGCTTCTTCCCTTTCCCTCCCTTGGTGTGTTTCATCACACTACTTCCTGTTATCACAAACCTCCGAGACAACTCATTACGTATCACCTTCTCCGCATCACCAGTCGCGAGATCCAGCAGCGTTTCCCCTCTTTCGTTCTTAGCACTGCAGTTTGCGCCACGGGAGATTAGGTATTCACACATATGTCCATGGCCCTCTATGGCAGCAAGCATGAGCGGAGTGTAGCCATCTCCATCCGGGATGTCCAGACCGTATCCTTTTCCACTCAAAAGCTTCACTGCTTTGACGTCTCCACGCCGTGCAGCACAGTGTAAAGCATAGAACCCGCCTGCCATGTTTCTGCTGTCCTTCTCAAGAGCAAACTCGAGCATCACCTTCTCTATCACGTCACGGTTACCGTTCTGTTCAGACAGAGAGACTACCGTGTCGCCAGAGTTGTTATACAGCTTCACGTCTGCGCCTGCGTAGACTAAGACTCTGAATGCTTCAACGTGGCCATTCATGGCCGCTAGCATTGCAGCCGAAAAGCCTTCCTCATCTTGATAGTCTAGGTAGATATCTTGAGTTTTTACAAGAGCTTTAAGAGCCTCAGCATCTCCTGCTTGAGCCACGTATAGCAAAGGCGAGAACACTGAAGCGTTGCTTGAATGTGGAACCACACCGAACCGGATCAGTTCAAGAATTAGTCGTTCTAATCCAAGAGACCACTTGTTTGACTCAGCGATCGAAACAGCAGAATGGCCGAACTTGTTCACGACACCGAAATCAGCACCAGCAAGGGCGAGAACCTTTATGCACTCTGGATGTTTGTGTTTTATTGAGATCAACAGGGCTGTGTTCCCCACATCATTCTTCGAGTTTATATCGCAGCCAAAGCCAACCAGTTCTTGTATGATCTCCACTAATCCGTCACGTGCAGCAATATGAATTGGTCTGAGTTCAATTTCTCGTGAAGTTTTGATAGGAGCTTCTGGATCGGCGCCACAGTTAAGGAGGACTCTGACAGCTGCCTGGTTGCTACAGAGGACAGCATGGTGTAGAAGAGTCCGACCGTTGTGAGGAGCATTTGGAGACTGGATTTTGAGCAACAAACGCAAAATGTCGCCACTGGTTTCAAAGTATTCTACAGCACACCAGGTTAAAGGGTAGGGCTCAGCCACTCCAGCTCCCACACGGAACTCTTCTCCAGTGTTAGTGTCCCATGACCATGCTCCAAGCCTCACCATGATATCTGTCTTGACACCAGCCTGTGCATATCATTGAAAGAAACGCTTTGATGTCTTAGATACATATTCTCTCCTTGCAAGGAACACATTTTCAATTTGTAGAACCAAAAATTACCTGTAGTAGCACGTGGACAGCAGAGACTTGCCTATTGACAATGGCAGCAACAAGAGCTGTACAGTCCACATTTGTGTAAAGAGAAGGTTTTGAAGATTGAAGAAGAAGCCTATCGGTTGAATTAGCATCTACACCACACTGTAATGAACCAAGAACATAAAAATGTCTTCTGTTAGATGCCTATTGACCAATCAAATTTGTCATGTCTTAAAACCACAAAATGAAGAACTCACTTTGAGCAAGGCCCCTACAACGTCCACAAAACCTCTGCAACAAGCAGTGGCTAGAGCATGGACAGCTACATGAGGCCGAATAAGATCAGTTCCCATGAGCAGCTCAGCGAACCTCGAGCGTCCGTGACAGCTCGCCCCTACTAGAGCTTCTTCACAAGCGGGCTGAGAAGCACCGGCTTTGAGTAGAATCTCAAATACATCAAAATGACCTTCCCTTACAGCTACAGTTGTTGCAAATCCCCTGAAAAGCTTCTGGTTCACATCAGCTCCAATGTTCTGTGAGATGAAATCACAGGAAAGGTCAGTTCACTGTTATCAGATTATAAAAATATTTTTTGAGCTACACTGCTAAGTGCTGAAGACTCCACGTGAGGTGAAAATCCAGAGCCAGAAGAAGACAAAAAAAAACTGTGTATAATAGTAAAGTTCTACAATAATGCAAAGTGAATAATTGATAATGGATCTACATGAACATGAGGGAACAACCCTGACACACAGGAGCATGGCTTAATCACTCACAGACATTTTGATGATGATTTAAAAGGAAAGATGGAAGTATGCAAATATAGTATTCGTCTACTATAGATGCAGCCAATGACAAGTGACAACACCTTATGGGGGGGGGGGGGCTCAGGTTCTGTTTCACAAACAGGTTACATGGTGTTATATCAACACTTCTTCTCGTACTAAATATCATAAGTTCCTTTCAGGAAAGTAAGAGAATCAAATCAAATCATTCAATTATCACTGCAAACCAATAGTGACCCTTTGGAACTGTTGTGTCTCAAAATATCCATCAATGAAGACCAATCCAAATCCAAGTTTTTTTTCCCAGGTTTCAGCCTAGTTAACCCTGATGATTGCGAATCTAAGCGCAAATCCATCATTAGCGTATACTATTGTCTAGCAAAGGCCAAGGAGATAAAAATGAGAATCGCAGTAAAAGTAAAAATCTGTGACGATGCACCAAAAGAAAAAGTTGTGTGACTTCAAAATTGGAAAATAATGCCCGCCTAACATGCAAATTTGACTCGGTAAAGATGCAACCTTTTTTTTTTTATATATATAACATTTTTGGCATCTTGGAAGATTCCTAACACTCCACCAGTGAGATTAAAGTTAGTCAACAGATTATGAATTTTTAAAAACTCGCACGGAATCCGATCCACGTTTTTATAAAATAAAAAAAAAATGGCTAGAGCTAAGTATAGACAATCACTTAGTAATGAGAGAAAAACAAATCAGAAATATTATATACATACCGCTGAATGAGTTCATGTTGATCAACTATCATGAAATCGAAATGAGAATTTAATGGAAGCACTTTTACCAAATTTTACAAGAAGAATTTCTTTCATAGAAAAAAAACAGAGAAAATGAATAATCAGTAACGGCGTTACTGTTGAAATTAACCAAATTTCACAGGGGATAATTTCTTTCATAGAAAAAGCAGAGTGTGTGAATAATCAGCGTTCGAAATTTTGAATTTCGAAAAAGAGGAAAAAGTAAAGTAAGCCGAGAGACAGAACATATATTTGGGGTCTTTAATTCAAGAGACAAAAAGGTACCACACTAAACAGAAACGCGCAAAAACAAACGCAAAAATGGAAATCACGAGGAAACCAATTCTCCATAGATTGCGTCCCCCATTAATGGAACGTAACACCAAAGTTTCAAACAAAGCAAAAATTAAATTAAAAGATTATTCAAAGTAAAATCATAAGTACTTCTTTAACAACAAAAAAAAAAAATCATAAGTAGTAACGTCGAATTGTATAATTAATGACAGATAAAACCGCATTTAAATCAATGCAGATTTTGTTTATCAGTTTCAAAATCTAAAATCTAGAAACGTTAAGAAACGGCTAAACTCGGATTAAAAAAAATTACCAGTAATTCCTTCACGAGAGCTACGTTTCCGAAATTAACGGCGAGGAATAACGCCGTTACACCGGTTTTGAATTCTTCGTACTCGACTCGGACTTCGCTGGGGGATTCATCACGGAGGACGACCTCGATCCTCCTCGTTTTTAAGCTGACGGCGCCGACGAAATTCACGTCGACGAGTGGATCGGAGACGCACTCCGATGCCGTTTTGAAATCGCCGTCGAGGATAGCTTCTAGAAGCCGTTGTGAAACCTCGGCTTCGTAATCCATCGGAACGACTTGTTTGCCGGAGAAAACCGTCATTGTCGGAGTTTTGATTCCAACGCCGCCGTAAGTCGTTGACCGAATGTTCTAAAACGTCGCCGCTTTAGAGAATCGGTTTTGTCTCTTTACACAGACGCGAGGCTCGAGAGAAGAGAGAGAGAAGGGAGACTTGAAAAGAAGTGAGCGCCAGGGGAAAGAAGAAGAAGAGTGTGACAATTTATTGAAACGGGATTTTACAGGTTTTAACCACGGTTAAACAATGAATGGTTAAAATTGGTAAATTTAATGAGAATATGTGGGTCCCATTTTTAACCGTGGGTTATGCTGCTACACTGTCACAGTGTCACTGGCTTGGGTGCAATGGCATAGCTTTAATAGAAAAGAATCCAAATTGTTTAATAAATGATACATTATTTTGGTAATAAATACCATTTTGTCTGCATATTAGTAGAACATAAATCGGGAATATATGTATTTTTTTAGTAATTAAGTTAACATCACACATGATGTACCATAAAAAGACAAAGAAAAAAAAAACGATTTCTATAGTTATCATATGATAATACACCTCATTCTATATTTATATTTTCTTTTTTCTAACATAGATTGGCTTTCAATTAATGTGTATTGTTCAATCCCAGATATTAGAAGGTACAAAATCAATAGGTGCTAACTCTTTTGGTCAGAACTAATTTTTCAGCTGAAGTTATATGTTATTTTGTTTTAGAATAATTCTTTACCCCAAAAGGATTTTTTTTTTTTAATAACT